TCATGGACAAATTAAAATCACCAATCAATGTAACCCTGCTAACTACATGTCTTTGGGTCATGGGAGGAAGCTGGGGTACCCATAGAGATCCCACACAGACGCATGGAGAACATGCAAACTCCCCAGATGGTGGATTAGAACACTGGACCTTCTTGCTGTGAGGCGTAGGTGTATTAATGTTGTTTATACCACTCGTGTAGCAAAGCAGTAACACTGGTGACCTAGTGAAACAAAGAAGAGGAGGATGTTGGACAGCCAATGTGTGTCAGCTCTCACAGACTTCAAACCAGGGGTGTCAAACATGAGGCTAGGGGCCAGAATCGGCACAGCAAACACTCCAATCTGGCCCAGCGGGCTGCTTTTAGACAATGGCATAAATTGGGACTTTAAAATGTGTGAAAATGCAGTTTAACAAAAAATGTTTTTTTTTTTTTAAAAAAGAAAAGAAAACCAAGAACTGCTGTGGCGTTTCACACTTCAACAAGTAAATGAAATGATTTAATAAGAAATGGTTTCAAATTTTATTTGTCACACACACACAACCATACACAGTATGACATGGGGGTGAAATGCTTGTAGCTGTACAATGCCCGACCATTAAATGACAGAAGAAAAGTTTTACAATATTTACAATTTACAGTTTACTACAAAAATTTACAAATTAACTTAGAAATTTACAGTAAAGAATGTGCAAATAGCAGAAGAGATTATAAAGATAAGGATTATAAATTATAGGAATTATAGGATTATAGGAAATGTGTGGTGGTGCGTGTGGTGACGTGTGTGAGAGTCCAGTCTTATAGTGACGTGTTTGGGAGAGTCCAGTCCTACACCTGGTTCAGGCCCGAATAGCCTGGGGGAAGAAGCTCCTCCTCATTCTCTCTGTTTTGGCCTTAAGGGAGCGGAAGCGCTTCCCAGACCTCAACAGTGAGAAGAGTCCATTGTTGGGATGGGAGAGGTCCATCATAATCTTCCTAGCTTTGGACTTGCACCGCTTGGTGTAGATGGACAGCAGGTCAGGGAGCTCTGATTGAATGATGCGTTCTGCCGAGCGCACCACCCTTTGCAGATCTCGTCTGTCCTGCTTGGTGCTGTTCCCAAACCAGGTGCAGATGTTTGCCGTCAGGACGCTCTCGATGGTGCAGGAGTAGAAGTTCTTGAGCACCTTCAGTGGCAGATGGAAGTCTCTAAGTCTTCTGAGGAAGAAGAGACGCTGACGGGCTTTCTTAACCAGGGTGTTGATGTGGCAGGACCATGACAGGTCCTGAGTGATGTGGACACCCAGGTATCGGAAACTGTCCACTCTCTCCACTGGCGTGCCACTGATGATGAGGGGTTTGTAATTCCTCGCCTGCTTTGTAGTGAAGTCCACGATCAGCTCCTTAGTCTTGCTGATGTTTAGGAGGAGGTTATTCTCCTGGCACCAGGTCTCCAGGTTCCTAATCTCCTCCAGGTAGGCCGTCTCGATGTTGTCGGAGATCAGGCCCACAACAGCAGTGTAACGGGGCTCACAAGAGACATTTTCTATGGATTAACCCAAAAGTTGTGTTGTGTAATGTGAGATGCAGTGTAAATGTGTAATCAAGCTTTACAGTCAGTCCTGCCCACTTAAGATCAAAGTGGCCTTTATGTGGTCACGATGTAAATGAGTTTGTTACTTTAAAGCATCCTTTGTAAATGCTGTTTGTTGGTGTAGAGATTTTTGGAGTGAGTGTTTGTTTTGTTTAAAGCGTAGTAGGAAGAAGTTCTCATTATAGGCATGTGTTTGTGCTCCTGCTTGGTTGTGTTTATTCTCTAAATCATGTCACTAATTAGAAACTTGCTTTATTTCCCTCCCCCTTGTTCTGTGAATGAATGGGTCATTATGGATGGTCGCTGTAATTAATGGTCGCCTCATCCTCTAGCTTCACTCCCCTCTTGCCCCCTCTCATTCTTTCTCTGGCTTATTATCATTAGTCACATTCCATCAGTTCTCAGTGAGCACTGAGGCTTGTCTGCACTCGTTTCTGGTCTTTTTTTCTCTCGTTGTATCCCCTTCCTCTTTTCTTCACCCCCTTCCTCGCAATTTTACGATTGTCCTTCTGTAGCCCTGGGCCAGCTTTTTCACTTCAGATATACTCTGTGCCCTGCTCTGCTGTTGCTCTCATCCGTCTCCTTCAGAATAACTGAGTATAACAGGATAACTGAGTTGAGAATGAATGAAAAGATGGACTCAGTGAAGCAGATGATGGCTCAGTTTAATGCTCTGTGGTGCTGTGGAGTCTGGCAGGCGTGGTTTGTGCTACAGGGAATCTGTCCTGCTGGTCCCATTCATCTGCTTCAGCACCCACTACTATCATGACCTTAACAATATATTAGTACATTTACCTTACTATTTATTTTTTTTGCACATTTACACTAAATCTGTCCGTTTTGCTTGCGCTGTCTTTGGACGCTGATCATATTCAGTGTAGTCATGGTCTCTTAGCTCTGTGGGAAGCTGCTTGTTTGGAGCCATTTGTGGTTTATGGATCCCCACTGACACTGCAATGATTCAACACTACTACACTCCAGAACAGTGTACTCAGACAATTTGCATATGAACCAAACTATTATAGTGAACTGAAATAAAACCTAAAAACTAAGCGTGGAAGAAGTTTTTTAGTGAACTAAAATATAACAAAAGCATAACATACAGGAAATGGCTTCAGTTCTACTGTTTGGGGAAATCTGTCATAAAAGCCATAATTGGGCTCATCTCCACAAAGTCTGCTTTGGTACTTGTGTGTTTTATGTTGGGGTTTCTTTTGTTTTTGTTAATAGTTTTGTACAGTAGACAGGAAGTACTGGGACTACTTGTTGGTGAACTTTCTGAATGGTGAATGGACTGGTTCTTAAGTTGCACTTTTCTGATCTACCTGAGCACTCAAAGCACTTTTAATTAGACACTAGTGAGAGAGCCATTGACCTACTGGTCTTAGTTCCAGTGTAGCGAGGCTTTAATGATGGGGTCATTGTATTAGTGTATATTCTGGGTGTAAAGCTTAAAGTGTCTTTTTCTAGCTTTATTGTATTTCCAAATGTCTTTGGGTGCCTGCATCTTTCATAACTGCTGGAAAAGTGCATATTTTATTGCTACTGAGTGAGGAGACTAGAACAAGACTGGAGTCCATTACATAAAAGAACATTTAGATAAAAGCAATTACAGGCACATATTTCTTTGCGCTTACATCTGGCGGATGCCCAAGGCGTGCTGAAGTTAGAAGGCTTCCACTCCGAGTCCAAATGTAGGGGAATTGAATCAGGAGTCCATTTTCTAGTTCTCAGGTGTCTGAAACTTTGAAGTTGAGTCTGATTGGATTATTTGATGCAGGAATGGGAAACCTTTTCTACATTTCTGTAAGTGTCACAGTGGTCCAGTTTAGTGTGCTTTTGGCTTTTTGTTTTGCAGCTTTGTGAAAATAGTAGATTGCTAACTGGGGCCTGCAAAGTCGAAGGGTTAGAGAACACATCCCTTAATTCTAACGCTGTTACAGTAATGTTAGTTTAACTTGGTAATCCTGGAAAAAGAAAGCCACTCTATATTTTTTTTTGGAATAATTCTTTTATAAATGAATGTGCCAGTCATTTCTGCCTCTGCTCTGTTAGGCTCGTAACTGCTTCCCAAGTATAATCCTCACAGGGAACTTTTCCACCAGGGAGCTGCAGCTTTATAAATAAGATATAAACACTAGCTTCCCCCACCCTCAGGGGTCAAAGGAGCCTGTGTTTAGGTTTATATGTGATCATTCCCAGCTCAGTCACCAAATGAATCTGCGTGCTTGACCTCATTGGCTGTGCAGGAAGATGCATGTTGTTGGATGGAAAATCAGAAACATTTGGATGAGAATTGACATTTGGTAACATGTGTATATAATGTGTGATATAAAGTATCCATTATGATGATGATGCTAATAATAATGCTATTATTGTTAGTATTGTTATTATTATTATTGTTATTATTATTGTTATTATTATTATTATTATTATTATTATTATTATTATTATTATTATTATTATTAACAATAACAACAATAACAACAACAACAATGATAATGATGATACTGTCCTTGGCCTCTTACCAGACCTTTACCCTCATTCCCATATATAGGAGATTTCCACCAACAAAGCAAGCTTTCTAATGCTCTTAATCTGGCAGGGGAAAAGGTGTGTGGGTGTGTGTGTGGTGTGTGTGTGTGTGTGTGTGTGTGCGCGCGCGCGCGCGTGTGTGTGTGTGCGCGTGCGTGCGTGCGTGCGTGCGTGCGTGTGTGTGTGTACACACTGGTTGAAGTTCAGCCTCTTCAGTGGAATGAATAGCGTCTTTTTCCCAATCTCCCTTTTGGATAAGCCTGAACTCGTAAGAGATAAATCTGTGCCAGCAGTGGAGTGCAGGCAGGCTGTGGAGGAGGAGAGGTAATGAGCAGCCATATACTGTATGAAGAAGAAAGTCGAGCTTTTAATGTCATTTAACAATTATAACTGGGTAAACGCTGTAGACTTGAGGTAGAAATGAGGGTTTGTGGTGTATAAACAGTCCATGCAGTCCTGTTTTACCTCCTACCAACTTGTTTTTCTGGCAGAGACTTGGAAGGTTTTGTACCTTGTATCCTAGCAATAAGAGAGGATTGAGTACTGGGAAAGTGTGTGACACTGAGAACCGCTCTTGGACTGGCATCACTTGACTTGGCCCCTACTGCAAGGTTTTTATGTAGTTTTTTCTGATTTTGGTTTTATTTTAAACACACAAACGGATGTAGTCTGTCAGATACGGGTCTGACTGGAATTTCAATGAAAATGAGCTTCCCACAGCATTCTTTGGACTGTGGTGGTACTCAAAAATACTAGGTGCTGGAGCCCTAGAGGCAAACACACATGCTTCATTGGCCTGCATTAATATCCTTTTAGATGTGTCGTTGCTCCGCTTGTCTCACTGTCTAAGAATAGAGAATAATGATATATCTTCTGTTTGCTTTGTGTTGCAGGTTGTATCCAGAACTATGTGTGTTTAAACCCAAGCTGCTGGGAGGTCAAGAGGTGAGATGCCTCTATAAAACACCACTGGAAACAAATGGTGAGAAGCTGATGTGTCCTATGGTTTATTTCTAGTAGTCCTTCTGTTTGAAATAATCAAACTTAATGAGATGGTCATAAAGTCCAAAAATAGACACAGTGTCTTCTTATGTAACAGTGAGTTTTATGAGTTGCCCTTACATGGTGGAATGAACAGGTTTCCATACAAACAAGGCTTACATACAGCAGCATTTAATATAGGTTAGAATTAGTAGTTAGGACTACTAACTAGACTAATACAATTACATGTGTAGTCTTGACACATATACAGTGAACTGTATAAACTGGACAGTGGTTCTTCAGCCGACATATCCTCAGCATAACCATGTTTAATATCCACAAAACTCAAGAGGTTACACACACACAATACGGTAATATTATGTTAAAGCACAGTGCGTATCACTCCGCGAGGCTGCCTACGAGAGCCGTAATGCTCCAACAATCCATCAAGCAGTGCGGCTTCGTAGCTTACGAAAGTCGTAATAAAACATTTTTTTGACAGATTTTCGAGCGCCGTGCACCACATAAAATCGTTTCGAGGTCAGTAAACACAACCAGAGTTCATACATAAGGGGCACTGTCGATTTTCCAGAAAATCAAAGGATTGATTTTAAGTGGGCGTGTCTGTGAAGGTTCTCAGTCATCCAGGTCATCGTAGTCAAAGGAGCTTGCACTGAAAAGCATCTGGACTTCTTTAAGTTGCTTGAAGATGTTTCACCTCTCATCCGAGAAGCTTCTTTAGTTCTAAGGTCAAATGGCGAAGAGTCCCAGATTTGAACCTAGTGGGAGTGACCCCCCCAAAGAGGGGAAAAAAAGACCCCTGATGATCCTCTAATCGCCTGAGCCAAGGTGTGAAAACGTCAAGACTCTAGAACAGCATCTAAACAACTCCTCAGTTTATGATTCAACAATCATGAATGCAAGAAAGTGACTGCGCAAAAATGGCATTCGTGGGAGAGATCCAAGTCACGCAAAGTCTCATCTCATGTTTTCCAGAAATACCTTGACGATCACCCAAGTGTTTTGGGAAATATTCTGTGGCCTGACAAGACAGAAGCATTCCATAAAAACAACATCATATGAGCAGTCAAACGGGGGCCTGTCAGTTTGACTTGGTGTAATTGGAACCATGAATCTCTCTACCAGAAAATCCTGAAGGAAAATGCCCGGCCATAAGTTTGTGGCTGAAGCTCAGGCTCACTTAATTATGCACCAGGACAAGAGGAAGACCAGTAGCAGGGCACCTCTGAATGGCTGTGAACTGGTATAGTCCAGACTGAAATCTGATTGAAGTGTGTTCGCATGACCTCAGACAGGCTGTTGATGCTCTCAAGCCCTCCAGTTAAAGTTAAAACAATCCTGCAGTTTAAAGGGGGCCAGACTTGCTTCAAAGATGTGAAAGACTCGTTGCAAATGATCACAAATTCTTGATTGCAAGTTTTGGCGTCAAGGGTGGCACAAGAATTATTAGATTTAGATTTTATCTACACTATGTGCTCTGAAGCAGTCTTTTGTGTTTGTTTGTTTTTCCCCCGTTGTTTTATTTCATGTCCTGCCTCCATCATTTTGAGACAGAAGTTAAATGATGTTAGTGGACAAAACCGATGTTGATCACTGCTCCTCCTCCGTGATCACACAGGTGATACAAGAGAGCAAGCTTTGCCTGTTTCGACTATAGCATATCTATAATTTCTCTTGGCTGTGTCATGTCAACGTTAATAACACAATTCCCTGAAAATAAAAGGAGTCAATGACCCCATTAGGAGGACAGAGAAATAGTCTTGCATTATCTAGTTATGAACTAGTTATAGAAAATTTTTTTTAGTCTTATTGACCATTTAAAGCACTTCAGAAACGAGCCATATTTAAGCATACATTCATAGAGTGCTTTATTCGCCATACTTTAGTTTATCTGACGTCCGTTTTCAGTTTAGAGTTACCAGTTAGCCTAACACATATGTAACCTGACAGACCACAGACCTTGGGTTGGGGGAGGAACCTGTAGTACCTGTAGGAAACCAACGCAGGCAGAGAGGGAACTCTCCACAAAAAGGGCCCACTTTGGGTTTGAACCAAGAAGATTCTTGGGAGACGGTGCTGATTGGTTCATCGCTCTGCTAATTTCAATTCAATTCAGTTTTATTTATACAGCACCAAATCACAACAACAGTCGCCTCAAGGTGCTTTATATTGTAAGGTAGACCCTACAATAATACATTCAGAGAAAAACCCAACAATCATATGACGCCCCTATGAGCAGCACTTTGGCGACAGTGCGAAGGAAAAACTCCCTTTTAACAGGAAGAAACATCTGACAGAACCAGGCTCAGGGAGGGGCGGGGCCATCTGCTGCGACTGGTTAGGGATAGAGAAGGAAGACAAGAGACATGCTGTGGAAGAGAGACAGAGGTTAATAACAAGTATGATTCAGTGCAGAGAGGTCTATTAATACATAGTGAGTGAGAAAGGTGACTGAAGAAGAAAAACTCAATGCATCATGGGAATCCCCCAGCAGCCTACAGCTATTGCAGCATAATTAAGGGAGGATTCAGGGTCTCCTGGTCCAGCCCTAACTATATGCTTTAGCAAAAAGGAAAGTTTGAAGCCTAATCTTGAAAGTAGAGATAGTGTCTGTCTCCTGAATCCAAACTGGAAGCTGGTTCCACAGAAGAGGGGCCTGAAAACTGAAGGCTCTGCCTCCCATTCTACTTTGCTAACATTGGTTTATGCTGTAACTGTTACAGCAGTCATAATATACAAGTATAAGTAAATATATTTCTCAAGGACAAGAAAGTCTTACCAGATGTTGGTAACCACACGTCCAATCCACACATGCAAAGACATCAAACCATAGATGTCCATAAATTATGTGTAATTATGAGAAATGACACAGGGGAAAACGTACTGGATGACTCTTCTGGTAATTCTTTTCACTCTTCTGTTTGAAATTTTACGGGGAGCACCTGGTCGCAGCCGGCTTCTCCGGATTATGGCCTCAACAATGCTCACTGGTACCTTCAGCAGTTTAGAAATTCTTCTGTAACAAATCCCATCAGTATGTTTTACAAGAATAAGGTTGCAAAGGTCTTGAGAGAGCTCATCATGAGATGTTTTATAATTGGGCTCCACTACAGTAGCTTTGCATGATTCACAATTCAAAAATGATCTTTATCTATGTTGGTCTTGAGTCTTTGAGCTCATCTGCCTAAAGATGTTTTTCACTGTCATGTTGAGAAAACTTTTTTCTGATTTGTTGTCCTTTGCAAATAAAGGACAACTAGAGCATAGCCAGATATTCCCTTTTATTTACATCGTACAGACTCAAGAGTAGAAGTGTTTAGAGGAGGATTACTTGTTCGTATGCTCACCTCATTATTTTGGTCATGATTAATATTAATATACAGTATATACCGCTAAACATTAAAGTTCAGTAAGGTCTTGTGTTTCAAATCATAATTGTGTTGTCAAAAAGAGATTAAAAATAGATGGGTGGATGGTTTCTAAAGTAAGTTCTGTTATGTGTGAATCCATGATATAACTTCTGTGTCTGGAAAATTCTTTGACATCCTGTGTTTTGTTCTTTCCCTCAGCTCTGCCGCCATGCCTCTGGGGATGGTGCGTCTTTCATTGTCAGCAGTCAAAACGCTGCTTTCTCTCCTGCTGCTGGCCACTGGCTGTCCCTTAATTTTATTTCCTATAGGCACTGTCCAAGGATCAGACTCATTCCCATCCAATTTTTATCCTACGTTTATCCGAAATGACACTCTGTTTGAGCACCTGGCCCTGCATCCTTACCCCGACGTGGGTCGGGTCTACGTCGGGGCCCGAAATCGCCTGTTCCAGTTGGATCCCTTCCTCCAACCTGAGCTACAGGATGACACAGGCCCCGTCACAGACAGCCGGGATTGCTTACCTCCTGTAACTGAGACAAACTGTCCTCAGGCCCGAGAAACTAGCAACCACAACAAGCTCTTGTTGGTCAATCCTTACTCTATGGAACTTATAACCTGCGGCAGTGTCAACCAAGGAATTTGCCAGAAGCGTAGCCTGGATTCTGTGGATCAAGTGCTTTTTTCCACAGAGAGGCCGGTTGATACTCAGTACGTAGCGGCTAATCACCCTAATGTTAGTACTGTTGGGCTTGTGGTTCGCTCTCATCCTGACAAGCAGCCTGTTTTGTTTGTGGGTCGGGGTTACACCAGCAGCCATCCGCCTATTTCCACGCGAAACCTTGCCCAGGATCCCATCTTTTCCTACGAAGAGACTGCCAAGTTGGCCGTGGCTGGCCGCCTCTCAGAGTACGATCATAATTTTGTTGCCTCGTTCGCCCACCGTCAGCACGTGTACTTCCTTTTCTACAGAAGGGACCTAAAGTCGCCATCGCGCGAGTACCGTACCTACATCTCTCGCGTGTGTTTGGATGATCAGGCCTATTACTCCTATGTGGAAGTACCGCTGACATGTCGTTCAAGGACGGGTAAAATTTACAATCTCTTGCAAGCTGTCCAGCTGGGCGTGTCCAAAGAAGACTTAGGGGGCCGGGGTTCAGAGACTCTAGTTGGTGTTTTCTCCACTCGTTTGGCTTCAACTCGGCCCAGTGAGGAGTCGGCTCTTTGCGTGTTTAACCTTGAAGATGTAGACCACAGGATCAACTCCACCAGAGACTTTTGCTATACACAGATGGGTAAAGAAGCAGGAGTGGAGGCAGCCTACATTGAATATGACGTCAAATCCAACTGTGCCAATCTGCCAGAGGTGAGCTCACCTGTTGAATCAGCTGGTTTTTGTTCAGCTACTTAATGTCGTATGGTTTTATTTAAGACACAAAATTAGGGTGAAACGCTTGCTATTTCTGCTCGCACTTTGCTTGTAAACTGAAGTCTTAGCGCTATCTCTTGTTGTGCAGATATTGTGAAACTTGCATTAGGAAGTGAGTTTCTTCTGTGAAGCTGCTCAGTGGTCAGCGTTCAGTGACGGAGCTCCGCTCCCCCGTCACTGTGTAATTGTAGGTTTGTGTCTGAGAGGGTGTTGCTAAAAGGAAAAATTACTGCCTACAAGAATAATGATAGCCTTCCATTATATTGTGTAAAAATGTAATTTGTGGTTATGAAGACCTTCCTTCTCCCTGGACTATTTTCTTTCCTGTGAATGGAAATGTTCACACAAACTGAAAGTGAACGCAGTAAACCATTAACTGTGAAAGCTAATACGCAGTGCACCATCACACACCTTGTTTTCATCATTCTGTTTGCAGAAGAACATGTTGTTGTACTCTAGTGATGACTCTCCTGAGTGAAAGCTAATGTTAGTGCATCTGTGCACAGCAGTCCTCTTCCAAGAGAGTGATCTCTATACAAGACAGGAGTTGAAATTTAATGTAATTTCTTTCTAAGAGACGGATGTAATGCTGTAGATCAGGTATCGAATTAGACCTCTTAAATCCAGCTGACTTTTTGTATGTATCCTTGTGAACACTGAATTTGGACAGAATGCTTGACATCCCTCTGTTATCGTTCTCTCGTTTGCAGTAGATGTGAGAAACCCGTGCAGCCACACACAGCCGATTGTCTTGAGGGGAGAATCTATAGCAGGTGGTGCAGTTTAATACAATTACTGGTCAGGGAGGATCGATTGAGGCATTAGCTGTACTTAGTGGGGTGGAGTTGGTAGTGTTTAACAAGGCCTGACAAAGAGGGATAAAGAAAGACTAGAGAGAGAACAAGATTAAGGGATACAGGCACATAGTGTGACAGAAATATGTTTTTGAGTCCAGGTAAATCATAGCAAAGCAGATGGTTATAGGTGAACAGTAGGGAGGCATCTGGAGCTGAAAAGAGACGTGATATGATGAGGATGTCAAATCTGGCACGCAAATCATCCTTCATCCCCGTTCACTGTTTGCCACAATGCTCCATCTGTAGCAGTGACAGAGTCTCACACCAGCTCTGAACCACTGGAAACGGCTTTTTTTTTTAAATGCTGATCAGGATTTGTGACTCATGCCTGACATTAGTGGCTGGAATGCACTTCAAGTGGTCTTTTGACCTTATGGTTACTCTCTTGTGCTTTTACTGTCCATATAATTTATGGCTAAAAGTCCGGATGATCTAGTGTGCACAGCACTCATCAGCCAAACCAGCAGGTCGCATGCAAGCATCCAGGGCATGTTCCTAGACTGGGTGTCATAACTTTAGAACTCTATTCTTAGCATGCAGTGTTCTTTGTTTGTTTTCCCTTAATGCCTCGGTTCTCCCGATGTGGACAAAGCAGGCCCTTAATTAGCTTAATCAGTCCTCTGTGAAGCTCCCCATATGGTCAGCGACATGTTCACAGTCAGGCTCAAAGCTGTGTGCAGTGGTTACATCTGAAAACATGTTTTTACTGAGCTTCTCTTAGGATGAAGCCAAAAAAGGAATCTATTCATAACACCACACCAGCCAACAACACGCAGTCCATCAAAACAAGTAGCGCTCGACAGGCCAGGCTCAGGTTCATCCCCTCTATTTCCTATCGTTAGGACAACCAGTGATGAAGCAATGACCCCGATGTAACATTCTTGTGGAAAAATAAATGGCCTGGAACAAAAAACAACTGCCCTGCAGCCAGAGCGAGGACTCTCGCCAGAGCTACACTGTGGAGAAAAAGCAAATATTGTGTTATAGTAGTTTTAGTTTGTTCCCAAACCCAGCCTTTTCACAATACATCCTGCTGTGATTTTACTGCAGTAGGAGCGCTGCTGGCTTAATAACAACTCACCCGAGGGCTTCTTTGTGCACAACACTAACTGAGGAGTTTACATTTAATTTGTTCTTTATTTGTGTTTTGCTTGAACGTAACACGGACTGCAAACGGATTTTCTCTCCTGTTCCCCCACTGTTAGAATACCCTGGATGCCTACCCCTGCGGCTCCGACCACACCCCCAGCCCCATGGCCAGCCGGATTCCTGTGGAAGTAGAAACCATATTAGACAGCCCTTCTGCCCGCCTTACTGCTGTGGCTGTCAGCAGCAGAGTGGGACATACCATCGCCTTCCTGGGAGACTCCAAAGGGAACTTACACAAGGTAACATGGCCCATCGTGTTTCAGGACATGCACAGACAGGTTGAGCTTGGATTCTGGTCTTAAGAAAGAGCATTTTGTGCCAACTTTGATGTTCTGCACAGATTGTGGTGGAACGTTCTTTTGTGCTTGTTATTTTGAGTTCAAACCCTGAACCGTAGTAACATGCTGGGTGTATTAACTGTAGTACATATGCAGAGATCAGCTCAGCAAACATTGAGCTCAAGTCTTCCCTCTGTTCACCTCCAGACACTGGCTGCTCTCTGCTGTCAGGTCTGAAATCTTTGTGTTTACAGACAGACGGGCTACACTTGGTACACCCGGAGTAATCTCTACAACATCATCCTGCTGGCGGTGGAGTTGGGTTTCTAGCTGCAGTCTTACCTTTTTAACAGTGTGCTGAGACATGAGACCAGTGCAGAAAAATAAACAGTATGAAAAACACCTAATCCATCCACTGATACTTTCATTATTGAGAATGAATGTGCTTCTGTGTTTTTAATACCACACTGCTCCATAAGAGAATTTGTTTATAATCTTTCCTCTCTTGCTTAATGCTGTTTATTTAAACCTAAGAGTTCACCTTTTTAAATGAAAATGTGAGCCGGTAACTGGACTTTATTAATATCACTTTTAGCTACTGAAACTATTTTTTGTTTAATAATTAAAGTTAATAAATTTAATGTGGTTAAAAAAATAATGATGATGTTATTAACTATTTTCTGCTTTTTGTAAATACTAAATTAAAATTCATGATAATTTTTTAGCCTTAAAAATATCATTTTGATTAAAGAGCTTGTGCTGGTGGATTAACCTTTACAGAAACATACAGTTGAAACCAGATATTTACACAAACTTTTTTTCCTTTACCGTCAAACATCAAATTGGAGTAAACTTTTTGTTTCAGATCCATAAATATTCACTTTTTTTTGTCTTTGTGACATGTCAGAATAAGGAGAGAAAAAATTTATTTTTTATTACTTTCCTTTGTATTTGGGAGAATTGCCCCAAAACGGTTTCCCTTATCCTTCCACAAGCTTTCTACAGCAGTTTGCTGGGATCTTGGCCCACTCCTCTCGACAGAACTGGTGTAACTGGGTCAGGTTTGTAGGCCTTCTTGCCTTTTCAGTGCTGCCCACACAACTTCAGCACCTTGACTTTGTCGTCCTTAAGACATTTGTAACTAATTTGGAGGTATGCTTAGGGTCATTGTTCATTTGGAAGACACATTTGCACCCAAGCTTCCTTCAACTTCCTGGCTGATGATGTATTTTGTGAAGTGCACCAGTCCCGTCTGCAGGATGCTGCCACCCCCGTGCTTCACAGTCAGGATGGTGTTCCCTCCTTTTGAATAATCTGGAGTTAATAAACTTAGTGTGTGTATACTTCTGACTTTGGTGAAAGTAATAATAAAATACACAACAATGTTCTCTGTCTTTACTCTGTCATTTCACAAATACAACAAATGTGTTAATATTTATTAATCTAAAACAAAAAATTACTGATTTGATGTTTGACAGTAAAGAAAAAAAAGATTTTTTTCTGAAGTGTGTCAACTGTAAAAATCAATTTATGTAATTACCATTACTGTTAATTTAGGGCAGCTGTGGCACACAGCTTACACTAGGTGGTGGTCTAATAAAACTGTTAAGCTCTGTGTACAAGTTTTGAATTTGATTATTTAATAAACCGGACCTCCGTGTCATTCTAAAATAGCAAAGCATGAGAATGACTTCTGTCCGTAAACACTTTTGATTTTGAACCTTGTTGCTGTAGAATCCAACCTCTTCCTCAAAGATGCTCGTTTTGAGTTTAAAATTTCCTCCTGCATCTGGAGACAGAGATATGTGCCTTTCCTGGTAGAGGTCTCCCTCCACTTCTTGGTTTGCCTGTTTTATGTATGTTGTACATCTTAACATGGCTGCATTAAAAGATTCAGGGGGACAAAACGGATTATAACTACTAGAAGCCCAAATGAGCTGGTTTTTGTTGTGTGTCGAGCAGTGTTGTTACTGATGCTACAAAAATACAGCATTCAAATCAAATCAAATCACTTTTATTGGCACATCACATGTGCAGGTACATTGGTACAGCACATGTGAGTGAATGTGCTGAAAGCAAACAAAGTGAATTCAGCCTGAAAGCAAACAAAATCATCTTAAAGCTGAATGTCCACCTCTGTGCTCATTGCCCCTTTTTAATTAAACCTGTTAAAGCTGCAAATGTGTGTGATATTTGGCACAATCCTGTGAACTCTTTCTTGTCAGAGCTCTGTGACAGTGGGTACCAAACATGAGAAATACAGACACAGTTCATATTGAACGAACTGTAAGCTTTCGGCTCAGTGACCAGATTGTGTGAAGCGCGGTGGAGATGACATGCTGTCAGTCGGATTTCAGAGGTACCGGAGTCATCCAGTGCTGTGGGTTCTGAGGGAGATCAGGTTGAAACTTGGTAATACACAAGGAAAGACAGACGATGCTTGTTGTTGGCGCAAACGACCATCACAAAAAGCAACAAGATTAGAGTCTGCGATTGAAGGAATGACGCCGACTTTGTGTTTGTTGCTGGCAAGCCTAAAAGATGCAGAGAATTATGTTAGAATGATCTAAAATATGTTTTTATTTTGATAAACCGTAACTTCAGCAACAAGATCAGTTGGCCCAGCAATTCCCTTGTTACGAGGAATTTGTAGATCGTGAGCTCGTCTGCTCACAGTTGGCTCTTTGTGTGGTTTTCCTGAATGGTGACTTGTGGTCAGGGCCCCCTGCACAAGCAGAAACGGCACAATGACGCCTATTAACATGTTTTCTGTACGATTACGTCACACTAACCCAGCTAAACCTTAGAGAGCTCCACTTTTGTGCACTGTCATCGCTGACTGGCAGACACATGCACTTCAAAACAGAGAGCCTCATTCAGAATTGAGTTATTGATCATGACAGCAGACAGTGTCAGTTTCATTAATGAGCACTTTGTCTGTGCAGCCGCAGACGGTCAAAATACATATATATATATATCACATGTTTAAATGTGTGTGTTTACTGTATGAATAAAAGGGGAAATTCCAACATGTGGAATCGGTTGAAGGTCTGAGGGTCCGATTGTGGTGGATGATCTGATGTGGTGACTCCCAAATGGAGAGAAAATCTTTGGTATGTTTGTTGAAGCCAGCCAAAATTCTGACTTTATACTATGACAGTGTTTTTAGGTGCAGGTGCTCAAAGTGCGTTGAAATTTGCTGATTTTTAATTTCATCTACTGCGTAATTGTTTTTGCAGTACATGAAATTGAAATGTTAAGGACTGAAATCCATTTCACATCCAATGCGAGCGTCACAATCTAAAGTCAAACTCAAGCATCAGCATCATGGGAAATACTTGTAGATGTGGCCTGATTGGTGAAGCCTTGTCCGTCTGGCCTCTCTAAGATGGTCTTTTTATACCCGGCCGTGTTCCTGCCAGTGAACTGAATGAGCTTCCAGTCATTTCTTTTCAGTACCACTGTTGGTGCCCCCACTCCAACTATTTTGAGACAGTTTTCTGCCATCAAATTCAAACTGAGCTAAGAGCTTTTGCAAGATACTAAACTTTTTTGATTTGATTGGTTTTTTTGCGTTTCTTTGTTGATGAAATGTGGCTTTGTGAGATCTGCCAAACAGCTGAATCCTGCTTTTACTTACATCTTGTACAGAATGCCAACTTTTTTTGGAATCGAGCTTTTGCTCTGTGTAAGCACAGAAATGATCGCAGGGTATAAACAGAGTTGGTTTAGCTCTGCATTATCTTCTAATTGAGACGTGGTTTGTAAAGAAACACTGTCTGTGTTAGGGTGCCAAACGGGATCTGTTTTTGTTCAGACACTCGGATTAAAGTCGGTCTCATTTGCATTTTAGATCTGTTAGATCTCCAAAGAAATCGAGAGGCTCTCTGTCAGATCAGGAACTTGGATTTCCTCAACGGCCGAGAAAATGTCTTTTCTTTATTGATTGTCATTCATTATTCAGATTAAATATATGTGGCTGGACAAACCTTTGTAGCCATAAGCCATTTTCACATATGCACTGTAGCTTTGTTTACATACATGCTGTCTTCACCCACAGAAACTGTACTGCTCTTCAACCAGTGCATTGGTCACAGTGTGAGCAGTGTGATCTCTGTACCAACACAATGTGTGGCGTGAACTTCACCTCCTAAACTTTCTAGCATAAATAAATATAAAAACATCAAAGCTAGTATTCATTCACTCAGTACTGAACAAAACACACTGAAATTGAACAAATCTGATGTGTTCACACTCAAAGGTTGTAAAATACCCCAACACAAATAAGTTAACCTTTGGTTTGATAAGTCGTGTTGGTAGTTTAAGTGTGATATGCAAACTGCTGCAAAGTTTTGAAAAAACGCAGCCTTGTGATGTGGTGTCAGTCAGTTTGAGAGATGGGCAAGCTCACACTGGGGTGTTTTTCACAGGTTCCACCCACTGCCACCCACATCATTTCTGAATCTTTAAAGCCTGCTGATGTAAGAGTTTCTTGCTGGTGACCAGTTACAGACGGCTCTGCACAGGTGAAAATATCTCACCCAGTTGGAGTAGAAGTTAAACCTGGCAAGTGTCCCGGTCACTGAGGTCTGATGGGGCCCGTGTGAAAATGTTTCCTTTCTTGTTCCTGTTGTGTGTGTGTGTGAGGACACACAGCTTCAGTTTCAGACCTGATGGCTGCTATGTTTAAGTGTTGTTTAAAGCTGTATGCGTGTTATTGTAGAAAATGTGATTCATGAAAGAAAGCGTGACAAACCTGGAGACTCCAGTGTGTCAGTAAAGAGAACACTGTGGAAAGAACCTCACTGACACTGTTCAACGGTTTAGAGACCATCTAAAGCTGTTTTTCGAAAAAGACTGAGCGACGGAGTATCTGAGCTGAGGTGTTGTTCTGTTCCTTTCACACTGAAATATGTGACTGTGGCACTGGGTGGGATGGATCTGATGTTCAGGCTGCTGTAAATAACGTCAAACTGCTGATGTGGAGCAGTTGGTCAGGCTGTGCACTCGTGTTAATAATAATAATAATAATAATAATAATAATAATAATAATAAATTTTATTTATGAGCGCCTTTCAAGTCACCCAAGGACACTTTACAATAGGATAAAACACTTAGTAAAACAATGGCAGAATAAGAACAATAAAATAAAGCACAAGATAAAATGAACAAACAGTGGATTCACAGTGAATATGCAGATTTGAACAGATGAGTTTTGAGTTGGGATTTAAACTGGGGGAGAGAACCAATATTTCTTATTTCAGGGGGCAGAGAGTTCCACAGCCTGGGAGCAGAGCAGCTGAAAGCTCTGCTTCCCATGGTGGTGAGGCGGAAGGAAGGTACAGTAAGCTGGACAGAAGAAGAAGAACGAAGTGAACGGGCAGAACAAGTGGTGGTTAACAGGTCAGAAAGGTAAGAAGGAGCGAGGTTATGAAGGGCCTTGAAGGTGAGCAGAAGAAGTTTGAAAATTATCCGGAATTTCACAGGGAGCCAGTGAAGTTCCTGAAGAACAGGGGTGATGTGCTGGTAGGAGGGGGTTCTGGTGATAATGCGAGCAGCAGAGTTCTGAACCAGTTGAAGCTTATGGAGGGATTTTTGGGGGAGACCATGCAGAAGAGAATTGCAGTAGTCAATACGGGAGGTAACAAGACTATGTACAAGAATGGACGTAGACTGGGTGGAAAGAGAAGGAAGCAATCTGTTAATGTTACGTAGATGGAAGTAGGCAGAACGGGTGAGGTTATTGATGTGTGATTTATAAGAAAGTGTACTGTCTAGGATGACACCAAGGCTCTTAACCTGAGGAGAAGGGAGAACTGTGGAGTTATCGATGGTGAGTGAGAAATGGTTAGCCTTCAAAAGGTTGTTAACCTACATTACAGCAGCCGTAGAGCCCGCACACTGATGGACTGCAGAGACCTCCTCAACCTTGTTAACTATGTGAATGAGTCAGTGTCGTCTGTCAGACCTTAGTTTCTCATCAGTTGTGTGGGCCTTGATATATTTAATACCTGATCACAACCATTTAGATTCATTTAATTGTTAAACTGGATTAGGCTCATTAAATGAGTTCTTCCATTGAATCAAAGGGAAACTATAAAAGGAGTCTGAGTCAGAAGCTGTTGGGGGGAAAAGGAACTGCTGATGTAAACAGAAGGAAGTCAGATTGTCACTGCAGGTACAACAATATCAGAACTATGGCTGATTTACAGTGTGGGTAATGTAATTATCAGGTTTTGACTGGAACGTGTGGAATAAAAAAGGCCTCTGAATCTGCAGCTTTAGAAAAACATTTTACTAATAATGAAAGGGGCTACATGTTTTAAAGATTTACAACTAACTGCAAAAAATCCAGAGTACCTTTCAATATCAGCAACCTTAAAAAGACCATTTTGAGCTACCAGTTTGACAAACGGTTAAATTGAAGGATTTTGCAGTTCCATCTCTGAATAAAACGGGAAAATAAGCTGTTTATTTTTGTTTTCATTATAATTGCACTTTCCTTTTTAAAACTGAGCATGTGAAGAGATGCATATTCATGTCAGCAGCCGGTTCACCTGTTATCTAATCGTTCATATTTATGTTTGCAGGTGTTCTTGGGGCCAAACGGTGAGGTTGAGGAGTACTCTGTGACCCCCATACAGCAGAATGCAGCCATCAGCTCAGACCTCATCCTGGATCAGAAACAGGAACATCTCTTCATCATGACCCATAACATGGTACACACACAGTAACTGAACTCTTATAGCCTCATTTCTTTACAGATAAATCATTTTAAACCTCGTGTCTAACCCAGTCTCACTTCTTTTGCTAAAGCGGCATGTATTTGGGATTATTTTAATGACCACTGGGAAATCTGGGCTGCCTATTCTCTCATTTATTTATTTATTTTTAAATCAGGAGCTTTTAGGAGCTTAGTGTGGATGGTTTGCATGACTGAACTTGATTGTGTTGTCCTGGTTCCAGCTGCAGAAGAGGCCAGTGGCTGAGTGTCAGCAGCATCCAGACTGCCACTCCTGTCTCTTGGCCCACGACCCTTACTGTGGCTGGTGTGTCCTGGAGGGAAGGTGAGATCGGTATCAGCAGTTATGGCTACACTAAATATAAAATACAACAGTCAAGATTTATTTGGAGTTCAGACTGCTTCATTTTATTGTTTATTAATATACTTATAAACCAAGAAAATGCCAAAAGTATGTGTTTTCCTTCTTTCTTTTTTAAAATGTTTAAATTACCTTAGCAGCAGCCACAGTGGTCACACGTTTGACACTTTGTACTGTGATGTAAGAGATGAGTTCTGGCAGTTTCAACATGCAGAAAAAGTCTAAATGAATCCATTAAATCCCAAATTCTTCCCAGCAAAATGAGATCATGCATTTTACTCCTTACTGACTTGGCCTACACACAGTATGTTTAATTTTGCTAATGTTATAGGGGGTTAAAACAGCAACACTTGTTGCCGGTGGGATTACACGGCTTTAAAAAAGAACCTTAAATTAAAGCAAAAGCAAAGCTATCAGCTAGCATTAGAGGCTACATTATACCAGACAAATTAAGGGGGGAAAGCTTTGTTGTTTTACTTCCTTCGTAGTTTCTTTGATAAGCAAACTTACAGTGTTTGCTCAGGTTTTACATCATGATATGTATTATAAGCTAGATTATTTCGTGTTACTTAAAATGAAGATCAGTGCAAGCATGTGAGGAAAATGGTAGCAAACAAGAAACCTCCTGGCAAGCTTGTTAGTTTTTGAAGTGTTTCGCCAACTCTGTTTGCTCCGGTGGGATTGTGTCTGAATATGATTAAAGTGCCTCTCTCTGTCAGACTCTCCTTCCCTGCTCTCTCCTTTGCTCTGCCTTACCACCTGCCCTACAAGCGTTTGCACGTTAACTACTTCAGTATTTATCTATTTAAATAAAATACTACTGGACTGAATCTTATTTGAACAAGATGAGCAATTTTGCTTTTTGTGCTGCCGCTGTACATTCCCACTACTAACAGGTTCAGCCACGTTTAGTTTAACTCTAGATAGAAACTGGCCTTCTGCTTGTGTTTTTGACATATGTAATGGAGTTAGGGAGCCTTGCTTCAGCTTGCAAAACAGTGAATATAATTAACTCTGCTTTCCCTGCAGGTGTGTGTTGCAGTCACAGTGTGCTCGTGGGAGCTACCCAGGGCAATGGTTGTGGAGTTTTGACATGGAGCAGCAGTGTTTGGTGGTCCAGGACCTCGTCCCCTCCAATCTGAGCAGGGAGGAGAGCAAGATGGTAGGTCTACGTTCTCTTTAGTCGAGACGCAAAACAAAACAGAACGGATTTGAGGATGACGGCCTTTGTTTACAAATCCACATTTCTTTTTGTGGTTTCTGTTGACTCCACATGATCATCCACATCAAGTTCCTAGAAGTTTCTCTGAAGAAAATCTTCATGACAGAATCTGTAGATATCCCCACTCTGGCTGTAATAATAGTCTCCTCACATACCAAAACACTCCAAAGTTATCCCTTATCAGTTGAGCTGCTAGATTTGGTGTACCTGGGCATGTGGGTACGATGTCAGTGGGTTTAAGTGTGAGGGTATCAAGAAGAGAGTGACTGGCTTGTGTCCTGTCATGTCCTAGTATAGCACAATATCTGCGTGAAAGATGGCAACAGAAACACAGACACATCCGTGGTTTCTCCCATCAGCCTGTGTTTGCCTGGCTCTAAATGATTTCTAGTTCCAGAGGATATAAATGGAAATGTAACTATTTATTACTAATGTAATAATAATATTGTAACATGGAGCTGCATGAGTTAAATGTACCTATAGCTGGTAGTGTGATAGCCTGACAGCTACAGTAGTGGCAGTGAGGATCGTTTTCTCTTCTGGCAGCTCACACATGGTACACCTTTTAATACTGACCAATTAGGGAGCTAGTTTTGTAACAGGCTCCTCGTGTAGCATTTCTACTCTGTGAGATACAAGAATCCACGAGCTGAAAAAAGCCCACTGATCCAGTGGATAACAAAAAATAACCAAATTCAACCAGTTCTGGCAGGACATGGATTCAAACTGAGAATCAATCCTAAGGACCACAGCAGCTCTGTACATGCTGTGTTCAAGTGACACGAGATTAGCTCTGGGATGAACTGACAGAAATATACTGGTTTACAGGAGGTTTGTTTTAGTTAGCAGCTCCTCTTTGTATTTATGATGGTCTATTCATGGGATATCCATTACTCTTACAGTATCTAATGCATTAATTTTGCCTGTCCTTGAGACGCCCGGTACTACAGGAGCAGAAACATTACGTGAATAAGCAACACAGCAGCTGGAGCCAAACATAAAACCAAACCTTTGTCAGTATGATTCATGCTCCATCAGCGGGGAGTGCAATTTAGTTTTCAAATCTAATTATTCCACACGGACGTTTACAAAAGAACAGATAGGATTTATGTGTTCAGACAGCTTAATCGCTTACTCTCGGCATGACCTTCACTGTACCCTGAAACGCCACAGGTCTGTGCCACATTCTGTCAGCAGCTCATGACCGTTCTGTATTTCTCTCAGGTGTCTCTGTCCATCCCAAGACTTCCAGTGTTAGAAAACGGGGAGTCGTACTCTTGCTACTTCCAGGACAGCCACACTCCTGCTACCATCACAGAGACCGGGGTCACCTGCCGTTCTCCCGACACCAGCAGGGTGCCTTTGGTTTTTCGAGGACAAGGTGAGTGTTTTCTTTTGGGGGGGTTTTTCCCTGCAGATCTGATGCTGTTGGCGTTTATTCACTCGTTTGCATGTTTCAACTTTGTGATTGGAGGATTTGCCTGCACCCTGGAGGATTTGCATGACCAGACCAGGCATGCCATTTACAGTTCAATTATTATGCCAGTGAATGGCCTAGAAAAAAATGGCTAACCAAATCCATTTTTTCTAGGCCATCTTACACAGCAGGGAGTAATCTGTATTTGAAAGCATAAACCGGTTTCATCCACGGACTGTCTGCTTTGAAATACGTGCTTTGTGTTTCCTGATTTGGTGACTGTCTGGTGCAGTGAAGGCTGCTTGTAAGTCGGTGTTAATGAGGAGACTGTAAATAAAAAAGAAAACCCGAAGCCTCTGTAGAGAACACATTCACCCAAACATTCATGTTATGAGAGAAACTCTCACGTAGAGTGTGGTTCCCATGTTTGTTGTTGTTCTCAGGGTGTAGGGCTCACCAGGAATCAGTTGGGTTACAGTTATATTCTGACATTTTTGTTGTAAATACACTGATAATTGCTCTATAAATATTGTGTATTAGCCTCAAACTGCAAGAGACTGAACTGGGAGCTGTGGCACAACATCGATGTAATCGAGTGTTTGGAGTCTGTGGCAGTGTTGTTACTAGTGATCAAACAAGTCTCGTATGTCCGTTCTTGGTCTCTCTCAACAGCTGTTCATCGGAGCCGCTTCAAACGTGGCAGAGTTTAACATTTTTTTTCTTGATCAGTTCTTATTTTGGCTGAAAGTTGCCGTGTCCTCATCACAACAAGTCCTAACAAGATGAAAATCTGCAGCCAAGTCTCCCTCAAACAGGCCCTTAAAGGCTACAAAGGTTGTCTGTGACTCTTCCTTAATTTACTGTCTCAGATGGTCTGTTGTTTTTTTCTGGTTAAGTGAGCTAATTTTGTTCTTGCCTTTCCAAAGCTGAACCAAATAAGTTCAATCCCTCACTTACTGTATGTAATTTGAATGAGCAGTTCTAAAGGAAGCCTTTGAACACACATCTCAGTAGGCATAGTAAACACAGTTTAATGAGTGGTGACACAAACTGGGTTTTTTCTCTCTAGTCCCCAAACAGACTCTGTACTAGTTTAAGGAAACGGCTCAGGTCAGGACTTTGAGTCCTTTTGATCGCAGTTTCTGCTCTTTATGAGGAGATAGATGTGGTACACAACTGCTCCCCGTTTTAAACATCCATCAAACTGAACATTTGTAGGGAAGCTGCTGTGTTTGTGTTTGTCACCGTCCTTGTGCACCCCAAGGATGGTGCACATGGGTTTCATTAGGCCTCTCTGTTCCCTCGGCTTGTGCAGCTCGTTCTCAAGACTCGGTGGATCAGAGACGGTAAGCCTGACCAAATATTTTTCTTACTCTGCTCGCTCAGCGCTGCGCTCTGTGCAGAAACTTGTTATGTTCTCTTTCCTCAGGCTGTGCTCCTATCTGTGTTTTCTTGTCAGATTTTGTCACAGTCACCTTGTCTCTACGTTTTGGCAACGTCACGGTCACGGCAAGGGATTTCACCTTCTACGACTGCACAGCCGTTAAGCAGCTGTCTGGCAGCCAGCCGTGAGTTATCGCCGATGATTTATCAGCTGTGCTCTCTGTCTGTCTCCTCCTGATCTGTGCTGTTCGCTGCAGACCCTTTAATCGAGTCTCACTCACCATCAGAGTCTGTGCTTTTCTGTTTAGTACCCAGGTCACTCTTTGTCCCTCCATCAGTTCACCTTGCGCCCTTCGTTATTATATCTGTGTCTGTATTTCCGCCCACTCACTGTCCTCTTTTTAATTCCCCTGTTCAAGCCTGTGACCCTGGGTTTTAGAAATCGCCAAGTAAGGCTCGCTTACTTGGCGATTGGCAAGTTTTATTGAAATTATTGAGTCGTGCAGGTAGAAATGACCAGTGAGAACAACAGAGTAACTACAACAATCAGATATCAGAATAATGCATCTATGAGCAGCGGCTCATAGATGCATTATGAAAGACATATAATGAAAGACACAAGTAGAGAATGGCTTCAAATGAAGCCAAAAAACAATAGAATGACAGTCAGAGGTTGTACTGGGTTTCAGTTTGTAAATAAAAGAAATTTAAAATCTTTAAAACTTGAATAAATTTCCAGACTTGAAGTAGCATGTACATCCTGTTTCACTAAATATGGCTTATAATGATTGTAGTGTTGTGTAAATTCCAAATAACACTTTCATTGTATTTAGGAGTTAATAATAACCTGTGTTGTCATAAATTACACGCACACACTCAGATTGGTGCGTGTTGAGTAATCTGTGAGACTTCCAACAGTTAGATCTGCTTCTATTAGAGCCGTTCTTCTCATAGCTCCTAATCCTGCATCACTGTTTGCCTCTCATCTTGAAAAGAGGCTTGTACAGTCGCTAAGGCAATTTCTATCCTGTCTGTGTGCAGATGCCGCGGTTGTGTTTTAAGCCGATGGGGCTGTAACTGGTGCGTCCACCAGCATGCATGTACCCACAAGCCCACCTGTGAGGAGGGAGTGATCATCTACAACCAACACGTAAGCTGCAGCGTGACGTCACATGCAGACATTGTAGGAAAAGCACCGACTGATCACCAGTTTGAACTGGAGCTTCATTTGCATTCATCAGTCAGTTCGTCGCCCATAAGCCAAAGATGTGCATTCTTCTCTTTGATTAAGGTTTCCTGTGGAGTCTTGAACTGCAGAATAGTTGCGCTGTCGTTACACTTTGCATGAGTGGACTCTTGTGTAATGTGGTACAACCTTTTAGAGGTTGTGGGCAGTAAAACCGACTGAAATTAGTTGTTTGTTTGTTTTTATAACACTTCAAAACAGTTGCCCAGAGGCATTTTAAGATGGGTTAAAACCAGTGCTGCTAACACAAATCACTGTCTTTCAGGTGTCATGAGCCACATTAACCTCAGATCACATGGTCTCTTTTTTCCTTGATTTTTCCTTTTTATTTTTTCCTTCTGCCTCACCCTCTCCTCGTCTTTTCCTCCTCCTCCCCCAGTTTAAACTACCTACCTCCTCTCCTCCTACAACCAAAGCTATTAAAGTCATCACAGCCACCACTACCACAACAGCTACCCCCACAACTCCTCCTACCACACCAACTACTGCCACGACGAAGACAACAACAACAACCGCAGCCGCCATCACCATAGCTACCACTAAGGAGTTAACAACTCCTACTCTTTCATACACCAGTACCAGCCATGAGACAACCCACCCGGGCACGACCCTGCCCCCTCAGCCTCCCACTCTACCACCCAGCACCTCTCCAGGCCTGGAGGTCACCACCAGAGAAGAAGAAGAGAGTGAAGCCTCTGAGACTGTCACACACAGTGACTGGGAAGATGCTGTAGCTACACAGAGTGTCACGATGGCCACGGCAGAGCTGATGCCCGTCACCGTGGCTGATGGTCTTAGTGGGGACCTGGACCCTGTCGTGCCTCTGATGATCCCAGACTCCTCGCCACCGGAGGTGGTGACGGCCTTACCCCCCAGCGAACGGCAGGCAGCCAAAGAAGCGCTGACCCTTGCAGAGGCTCCCACCATGGTGCTGCCTGGCTTTCCCCCGCCCACACTTTTCCATATGGGTGAACCGGCTGATTCTGAGCCTTCCCTTTACTTGGACTCGACCCAGACACCCACACTGGTACCACTGCAAGACGTGCACACTGAGGCAGGAAGCCCAACTGCTGATTCTGAGGTGCCCCTCTGGCGAAAGGAAGCAGAAAACTACACTGAGGGTGCTGTCCAGGCAGAAAATGACACGGCTACATTTTCAGCTGCCACCGTGCTCTCAGGTGATGGGGAGGTTGACCGCATGTCCCAGTCCTACCCGCCCCAGTTGCTGAATGCTGACTCAGAGCTGGACTACCAGTATGATTCAGCTGATGGCTTCCTCCCGGTGAGTTCAGCCGCCTCAATCCTCCTCCTGCTTCTACTTCTTCTTCATGGAAAGGGTGAGCACCCTCCCTGTGCTTCCAGCTTCTGACTGGAGTCCTACTATAGGAACAAAGCTCACAACTGATTCCCTAGTCTCTCATTCTTTCCCTGCATTTCCTCTTCCGTCTCACACCTGGAATCTGTATCCTTTCACTGCACAGACTGACTTCAAGAAACCCGGCTGCTCCTGAGTTGCAGCAGTTGTTCTTTTGTCTAAATATCTTCACCTTTCCTTTTTCCAGACTCTCTTTCTTTCATTATCTCTATACAAAAATCTTCACCACCTTGAGCACGCCCCCATCCCGACATCCCCCCATGACTCCTTACATCTGACTGAAATCAATTGCAATCCCTTGTGGGAAAGTAAAAACTGACCCTGAACAAGAATGAATATATTTAATGGTTCGTTCGATCCACCTCACTGTAAATGTATGTGAATATAAACACGTGTGATCTGTTCTCCTGCAGGGGGACGAGGGCTCGTATGTCAGCTGGGGTTCCTCAGCTTGTCCGTGCGTTGAGAAGGTCCAGGGTTCGTCACTGCTCCCTGTCAGAGTGGAGAGAAAGATCACTTTACTGGCACATAACCTCCATCTGTATCAGGTACAGCACACAACAGCATCGAGCCTGTTAGCTGCCTGCCCAGTGTACTCTTTCATGCAGTGTTTGTGTGTTCAGGATGCAGAGCTGGACTACGAGTGTGTGTTGGTTATTGAAGGGCAGACGGTGGTGGTAGACGCCTACGTGGAGCCAGATGACATGAACCCATCAAGCTTTGACATCACATGTCAGCTACACCAGGTCTGATATTGTTTATAAAGCATTAGTACCTTCATAAAATTGCTACCTTCAGTATTAAATAAAGGCAAAAGTAAAACTAAATGAAGGCCGGTTCACCCTCCCCGGGCAGGATGAACATTTCCCTTCTTCTGCTACCTGTGTTTGTAAAGCAGCGCTTGTCTGGAGTGTAACTGATAATGAATAATTAGTTTTAATGTTACCTTAAAAAATGGGACCTTTTTCTTGTGTCCAGTACACATACTCTGCCCCAGTGCAGGAGTATAATGCATTGGTGTATGTGAAGAGGAGGGACACCTTCCATGTAGACACTTCTCGTGATCTCTACGGTAAGGTCATATTAAGTTTGTTTGTTGTGCTTTAAACATATTGCTGTTAGTTTTCATTATGAGCACATGTTAACTGTCTGCTGCTGCTCTATGTCTACTGTGCTTTCAGTGACTCTGTACAACTGCTCTGTGGGTCGATCTGACTGCAGCCGTTGCCACACAGCAGACCCAAAATACGGCTGTGCGTGGTGTGGTGGTCCCAGGGCCAGCTGCCTGTTTTCAAACTCCTGCAGTGAACCTGTGCAGCAGACGTGCCCTGCTCCCGTCATACACTCTGTGAGTATTCAGAGTGTGGGAAATAATACAGTGCACTGGGATTTATATTTGAACTGCTTACAATCATAATTGGAGGCTTTATTGTCAAGTTTTCACTTTTGCTTCTTATCACTCTCACTTACTACTTATTGTCCCAAAATTACAAGAACAATGATGATCAGCCATCACAGTCAGATGGAACATGTTGTTGATATACTTTTTGGTTTGAGACAGTGGAAGATATTATAATACTGGAGACCATTTGTGTTCTAGTGGAGTCATTATTCGAAGATGTAATACATCCTTATCTTACACTAGGCCTCATCAGCTCATCACTTCATCTGTTTAAGCTTTACACCAACTTGCCACTGATTGGCTGCCCCTCAGAAGCACAAGTTTGAACAGCAGGTGGAAGGCTCTTCTCTGCTCAAAGCCAGAGCTGTCTGTCGGAAATGGGAAAACAAAATTGAGGATATCCCTTCTCTTTAACGTCATACAGAGGCAAGAGTAGAAAAAAGTAAAAACTGGAACAGTATGTCTGATAGAAAATGAGGAAAACAGCAGATCCTCTTTAAATAAAGCTTCCCAATGATCTGAGTGCTAAATGTACAAACACAATTCTGATTTTATGCCTTCAAAATAAGCTTTCTTTCGAGCTTTTGGCTCACAGGGGTTACTTGGACACAGGCTGACCACGTTATTTCAGAAACAGTGAAGCAGTATATGTGTAGCAGATGTTAACTTTAACAAGACGCAAGATATGGGGAGTTTACATCCGTTTATATTTTGGAAAATGAATTATTAGCTGTTAAAGATGGTGACACAGCTGTTGCTCATGTATTTTAAGGTTCTGAGGGAAATCATACTGTTAGTCCTGCTCTGAAAAAGCTTTTGTTTGATGAGCATTTCTTTGTGTTAAACGTCAGTGATAATAATGCCCTCAGAGTGTAAGTTGCACTGAATTTAACCCTATAATGCCCTTTGTATCATATTTGATACGTGAGTTTCTGAGACCTCTATCTCATCAATGTGATCAATACTTGCCATAATTTCAAAATGTTATGGACAAAACGTTTTTTTTTTTGTCTAAAATTAACATTGTTAATTTTAGACAAAAAGTTGCCAAAAACTCCCAATGTATCAAATGTGATCCAATAAAAATATATCATTCACAACAGCGTTTGTGGATTTTGTTATAAGGGTTAATAAACATCTCAGTTCCAAATAATCAGAATTTTCTGATGGGTACATTTTTGATGGCTTGGGTCTTACAGGGTTAAAAATATGTGTTCGCATTTGTGGCTTCACCACTTGCTTTGAATTTATTGTAATAAAACACTTGGTTAGACCTGTTTTTTCTTTTGTGAATGCTTTTGCATTGGTCAACAACTAGAAAGGTTGTTTGGATTTTTTGTTCCTGCCTCCAATCAGGTCGACCCACTCTCTGGGCTGTTGGAAGGAGGCACCATGGTGACCATCTCCGGCTCCAACCTGGGTCAGAAGGCTGAAGACATCGTCCAGTCTGTGTTAGTAGCTGACGTGCCCTGCACAGTGATTTCCAACCTGTATGAGGTCTCCTCTAGGTATGCATGCACTACTGTTGTTTCTCATAGACTCTCTTTGTACTGATCAGAAAACTACAGAAACATGACTTGGTTTTCTGAAGAGCAATGTTGGTCTTCCAGAATTGTGTGCATGACCAAAGCCAGCGGATTAAAGACGAACCATGTGTCTGTGAGAGTGAATGGAGGAGAATTTGGCCTCTCCAGACAGAAATTCAGCTACCAGGTATATTAAAGTCAGGTAGAGTAAATTAGATTTTGTTGACCTGTCTGTGAAACTTGGCATTTTTGTTGCATCAAAGGACACTAAAACCTACATTGCTGGGAGAAAAATGTGACTTTAAGAGGTGAAAGTTTAGTATAATATTCTTTCTATTTATTAATTGTTTATAAAATAATGAAATTGTGGTTCTAACACTGGAGGTGTTTGAAGCAGAGAACATCTGTTATTATTTCTGTTTGTTCTCTTTGGTCCACATGTCCATAATAACATAATGTGGGCTGCATTCTTTAACAATATAATTCATACAATATTAGAAGTCGCACATCTAAGAAACAAGAAGTCTTTGCCAAGTTTTGCCTTTCTTAAACCATTTAAGATGAACTGATTTTAACCACACGATCAGTAATCACAAATATTTCTCAACAAGTCCACATTTTTAAATAAATCTGTGTAAATACATCTCCCTATATTAGATAATAGTTTAACATAAACACTGGAATTTCTTTCCATATATTTCCTTGGATCTCTGTCTTATTAAGGCTGAGAGGATCCAAGTGTAAGAATAAGTTCTTGGATTTGGCAAACTGGGAAAGGACACAAGCCAGTCCAAAAGTCCTTGTTTCTCACTATCGACAGACTTTCTTAATATGCAACAAGAAGCAAACAGCTGTGTTACACTGTGAAATATAGCTGCTCTCTCCTTCTTCTTAGAACCCAGTTGTGAGAGGAGTGTCACCTGAAAGAGGCCCCAAGGCGGGGGGAACATCCCTGAACATCACTGGCCAAAACCTTCTAACGGGTCGCCCCGCTGACCTTACCATCACTGTCGGGGACGTCCCCTGTAACATGTAAGACACACGCGTATAATGGCCTGTTTGTGGTTAATGCAAAGTCGGTGCTACTGTTTTTCTTCATTTAAGGTTGTAAGGTCAGACTGACCTTTGACCTCCTCGTGTCACCTTAGGATCTCATCATTTCTTTGTTCCCCCCTCAGTGTATCAGAGGTGCAGAGTGACAGTGTTCAGTGTGTGACGGGGAGCAGTAATAAAACAGGAGACCACCAGATCACCCTGCATTACGGCAGCATCCAGCGTCACCTCAGCAGCCCCGCCTACCACTACACCAACAACCCCAACATCACCCGTGCCGAACCAGCCAGGAGCTTCCTGCAGTAAGTCTGAAAGCCCTCACATATTCAGCCTTCAAAACGTATTCATACCTCTGAAGCTCTAAAAACTTGATTCTGTTCACTTGGACGTAGCGTTTTCATCCAGTCTCAGCTGGCTGCGGGTTGTAACTGTGACTACACTGCAACCTTATAAACAGTACTTTTGCACAATGACTGAAACTAGCACCACTGAATGAACAATGAGCTGTGAGGTCAGTTCCTTGACCATTGATCAACATGACAATTTGCTGCGTCCAGACAAACAGAATCATCTTTTTGGGATTTCCTTACTTGGGCGATTGAGCATGCATCACAACATTTTAACCTGCTCTGGTTGATTGGATTGTTACAGTGGCGGTCGACTGATCAAGCTGTCTGGATCCAACCTGGATGTGGTGCAGGAGCCCCGAATGGTGGTGACTCTCTCCCGCTTCCAGTCGGTCGGCCAAAACAAGAAGAGGAAGCGGCGGAGGAAGAGGAGCAAAGGAGAGCAATGGAAGAAAACCCTGGGAAGGTCGGTTAGGATGGTTCCTGACCCCGTCTGTCCCGGAGACCAATTCTGCTCCGTCAAACAGGTCGGTGTGTGCTGCTCAGCACAGAGCAGTTCATTCGAGTGATCGTTCACACCTTTTAACCCAAATGACCCAAATCTGCCTTTCTCATCAGTTCGTTGAGCGCTGTGAGGTAAACTCCTCCTCCCTCATCCTGTGCCGCTCTCCGATGGTGGACTCCACCATCTGGTGGTCACAGGTCACAGTGGAGTTCTTGCTAGACAATCTGCGCTTTGACTTCAGCAGTTTGAACTCTGAGCCATTCAGCTATGAGCGTAACCCCACCCTGCAACCCCTGAACCAACAGGACCCTCTTAAGGCATATCGCTATAACCCAGGCAGCTTCATCCAGCTGGAGGTGAGAGGAGAGGCAGCGATGTTTCAGTTTTATTTATGTACTGACAAAATAAGCAGACATAACATATATCTCTTATGTCTTATTGCCTGTTCTCAGGGGGAACACCTGGACCTAGCCATCACTAAAGAGGAGGTGGTGGTGTTGATTGGAGAAGGTGTATGTGCGGTGAAAACCCTGACCAGTAACCATCTGTACTGTGAGCCACCACCACAGCAGCCTGCACCAGGACCAAACGGCAAGAAGCGAGAGGGCTCTGACAATCTCCCCGAATTCACTGTGAGAAAATGAGAGTGTCACCACCGTGTGAGCGCCTGATGGGCCACTCAAGTTTGAAAGCACCTCACTTTTTTATTTAACATGTATTTCAGGTCCAGATGGGCAACCTGAACTTTTATCTCGGCAAGGTTCAGTACGACAACCTGAGCCTGTCCACCTTCCCACTAGAGGCTCAGATTGGAGTTGGAGTTGGAGCCTCCATAGTGGTCCTCATTGTGCTCATAATTGTGCTTATTTACAGGTCAGTGGGTGGACTGAGAGTCTGTGTTTTTGTGTGTTTAGTGTGCAGATGAGTGCTACAGTGGTTCTCTACCTGCTGAATTCATATGTTTGCTCACACATAAAGAAATGAGCAGTACTGGGTCCCAGTTTAGGTCACCCACTTGGACATGCAATCATGTCTCAAGGCTCAGTTCACACGCCCAGGTTTGAGTCTGACCCTGGACCTGCTCTTTCTCTCTCCCCACTTTCCTCCGTCCTATCAAATAAACCCAGAATACCCGGATACGTTACATGGAAGTTATAAATTGATTTATATGTCACTGAGTGAAATAATTATTTAATCCCCTACAACTGAGCCAGAATTCTGCAGCAGATAGCCGATAAAATGAACTGAATGAATGACAGATACTGCTAATCTGAATTTGAAACACACCTGTCCACAGAATCAATTTCTTGCACAGTTTGACTGGATTTCCACTAATCGTATGTAAAACCTTCTTCCCGTCTGTTAGGAGGAAGAGTAAGCAGGCTCTTAGGGACTATAAGAAGGTCCAGATCCAACTGGAGAACCTGGAGACCAGTGTGAGGGACCGCTGCAAGAAAGAGTTCACAGGTACAGCATTATGAGGAAAAAAGAGAGCGGCGGCTATATGGATGAAGACGGGAGATAGGAGGGCCTTTTCCCCATGTTTCATCAGTTTTCTTCGCCTCTATAGTTGCGATAGGCTGAGAGCAGAGAACCCCCAGATGATTGTATTCTGCCAGCTGCTATTTACAAGCTCGTGCCTCCTGGCACTGGCCTGTAGCAGCAGCCTCTGACCTTTGTGTTCTTAATCACTTTGATCCAGACTTGATGACGGAGATGATGGATATGTCCAGTGACCTGGTCGGCTCAGGCATCCCCTTCCTGGACTACCGTATGTATGCCGAGCGCATTTTCTTCCCCGGCCACCGAGAGTCTCCTCTGAGACGAGACCTGGATGTTCAGGAGTGTCGGCGGCAGACGGTGGAGCAGGGCCTGGTGCAGCTTTCCAACCTGCTCAACAGCAAGCTGTTCCTCACCAAGGTAGTCGCTATCACAATCACAGCTAAAATGAAGCTTTGCAGAGCGAGGATTCATCTCCTCTTTTCCTCTCAGTTCATCCATACCCTGGAGAGCCAGCGGACCTTCTCCCCCAGAGACCGAGCCTACGTGGCTTCGCTGCTGACGGTGGCGCTTCATGGCAAGCTGGAGTATTTCACAGACATCCTTAAGACACTTTTGAATGATCTGGTGGAGCAGTATGTGGCCAAGAACCCCAAACTGATGTTACGAAGGTAAGCTGCTGCTCATAGATTCAGTCTTTGGCATGTTCAGAAGCTGCAATGCTGCTGCAAGTGTGTGTGATTCTCTGCAGAACAGAGACGGTGGTGGAGAAGCTGCTGACCAACTGGATGTCTATCTGCCTCTATGCTTTCCTCAGGGTGAGTCAACATAAAAGCAGTGATGCACAGTAGTAGGGATAAGTCTTTTTAAAAAAATATTGGGATATAAAACATTTTAAGACTTTGAGATTTTACTTGGGGGCATTTTAAAGTGGAATATAATGACTTTATTAGGACCAAGCTCCAAAAAGCAGCCACTAAAGCTGTGACCTGTGTCCTTTTTGTTCATTAAAGTCAGTGCGCAAACGCTTTAATTTCCCACAGCAAAAAAACAAAACATGCTTAATTTATTGTTTTGTGATCACACCATTCATAGAAAAGTACATATTTGTGCTTGTGTTTATTCAGAGAGCCCTCAGAGCATGTTGCTGCGTTAAGGATTTCAGTGCATAAAGCTGACATTTGCACCAATGACTCAACTACATAACGTATACCATGTAAATAGAAAAATTACCCACGCTGCTGCACACAGCAGTAACTTTTAAATAGCAGTTTCCAGTACTGACATGTCAAAACACAGAGGGGAATGAAAGTCCTTCCAGTCACTTCAGTACAGTGGAAACATTTCTAGTACATGCAGTGATTCTTATATAGCGCTTTTCTACTCCTTTATGTCTCATCTGTTTACACTCATACATAGAAGCACTTATTTCTGCACCGACGTGCTTTCTATCGAATGTAGAACCACCAACCTCCTGATTCACAGGAGACCTGCTCCACCAATCTGAAAATATGAAGCTCAGGTTTTCCTCAAGGTTTGACTTAGCAGAACATTTCTTTAACACATGAAGTGTGTAGAGAAGCACTGTGTAAGAATTGAAAGAATGTGTGTGTGTGTGTGTGTGTGTGTGTGTGTGTGTGTGTGTGTGTGGTGTGTGTGTGTGTGTGTGTGTGTGTGTGTGTGTGTGTGTGTGTGTGTGTGTGTGTGTTGGTGAGTTTGTGTGTGTGTGTGTGTGTGTGTGTGTGTGTGTGTGTAGGACTCAGCGGGGGAGCCTCTGTACATGCTGTTCAGGGCCATAAAGCACCAGGTAGATAAAGGACCGGTGGATGCTGTTACTGGCAAAGCAAAGTACACCCTGAACGACAACCGCCTGCTGCGAGAGGACGTAGAGTACAAAACCCTGGTGAGGGGAGTCTAGACTGAAATAAATAACCATTTTGGCTCTAATGAAAAATTCCCCAAGGAGGTTGTATTTTTCTTTAATTGTCTTCCCCTCCTTTCACTCTTCTTTTCCCTGCAGACACTGAATGTGTTGGTGCAGGGTGGAGGGGTCAATGAGACCCAGCCTGTGCCCTCCAAAGTACTGGACTGCGACACCATTACCCAGGTGAAAGAGAAGCTACTGGATCAGGTGTACAAAGGCACATCCTTCTCACACCGGCCGCACGCCGAGTCGCTGGACTTGGGTGAGAACCACACACACTGCGTGACACACCAGACTCTGAAAACTGATGCACCTCGTGTCAGCCTCGAGGAATCTGGTACTTATGTCTCTTTATGATCTCTCTTTTAGTTTACCCATAAGTTGGGAAATCTAAAAGAGTAAACAGGACCTTTATAAAAATAAAGGAGCAGCTCGATAAAATATAACCAAACAAATTAGCTGAGCGACGTAAAATGAGTGAAGAGGAGAGAGCTTAGTTTCACAGGATAAGTAGAAAGTTCAGTATGATCAACCAGAATAGCAATAAAACAAAATGGGGGGGAAAAGGCAGGACGTTTCACTGACTGCTATAAAGAGAAGCAGAAATATGGAGTCATAAACTGGGAGCAGACGTGGGAAGTCAGGTGTGCAGCTTCATCGAGCCAACTGAAGTCGCAGAGCTGTAAGGACGAGTTCATCGCTACAAAGGAAATAACTGAATCGGGGAGGTCATTCACAAATGTGTCTCACAAGTAAACTTGTGTGATGGCTTCAGGGGCCTCAGCTTTGGCTGTGGTGCCTGACACCTCTCAGGGTTGTGACGGGTATGTTTAATTTATTGAACGCCTGTCGTTTGATTCCTACTATCATCTTAACCATGTTTTAATAACTTTGCACTTTTTGACTTATGTACGTGAAAAGTGTTACAAGGATAAATATCTCTTGCTTCTGTGGACTAGGCTCTCAGAGACTGGGGTTTAGGGGCATGAGAGCAGGACAGATGTGGAAAACATCGGTGGGACCTTGACTACCATGTGATTGTTGGGTTTTTCTCTGTATGTATTATTATAGGGTCTTACAATATAAAGTGCCTTTAGGCGACTGTTGTGATTTGGTGCTGTATAAGTGCAGCGCTCATGAATTAGCTTTCCTTCTTTTCATATTTGTTGCCCTGTAGCGCCCCCTACAGCGTGACAAAAACAAATCCAAACCAAGCTCACTGACTGCTCAGTCTGTCAACACTTTCCTCAAAGATGAGAGAAAAACCTGGTAAATTTAAATTTTACAGCACTGTCAGTACCTGCATGATAACATCAGCCTGAGCTGATGATGGGAGCACCTGAATGAATTTGTGAACATCGTTAAGTCGCTCGAGTTTGCTAAGATGAGCATGTCCCACAATCACTGTGCTGATGTGCGTCTGCCTTCTGTCATGCAGAGTGGAGGTCGGGCGTTGCCGGTCATCTCATCCTGTCAGACGAGGACTTGACATCTGTGGTTCAGGGTAGCTGGAAACGCCTTAACACGCTTCAGCATTACAAGGTCAGAGTTATCACTGAATGCTTTACAAAGCAAACTACACTGTTTCATAGCCTGGGATAGGACACGGCCGACACAAATGGCTGTTTGTGTTCCTCCATAGGTCCCAGATGGCGCAACGGTGGCACTGGTCCCTCGTCATACCAAACACATTCACCATGACAACCACGACTACATAGCAGGAGAGAGTGAGTTTGTTCAAATAAAAGATAAATCAACTTGTCAGCCAGTTCATCTTTCATTAGACGTTATTTGACTGTCGCACTGACAGTAAAAACGATTCGATCATTTCCCTACTCAGTTCTTCAAATTGTGTGAGTGTTTATGTGGAACATGAAGTGACAGATGGAGGAAATCAAAAGTAGCAAAACCAGAGAGCGAGTCACAGGCAAGCATCAAACCTGTGTGTGTGCAGAGACGCCAATGCTGGAGGATGCAGATGAAGGTGGAGTGAGGCTGTGGCATCTGGTAAAAGCCAGTGAGGAGCCCGAGTTGCCCAAACACCGCAGAGGCAGCCTGAGGGAGAGAGAGAGGGCCAAGGCTATCCCTGAGATCTACCTGACCCGCCTGCTGTCCATGAAGGTACAACACACACATCTGGGTCTAGTCCCATTGAGTAGAGACTGTAGGAAGGAGATGAGGAGTACAGGAGTACCACACTTTCTAAAAATCAATCTGTTTTTTAAACTACACACAGCTGTTCTCCTAATTTGTAAGCTACAACGCTACAAAGTTAAACAGACACACACATATATTCTTTTAGCTAGACAAGAGCAGAGTGCTGACACTTTCACTTTCTTATGCTCTAATGTGAACTTTACTGTGTTTGTCAGGGGACGCTACAGAAGTTTGTGGACGATCTTTTCACGGTGATCCTGAGCACGAGCCGTCCTGTCCCGCTCGCCGTCAAGTACTTCTTCGACCTGTTGGATGAGCAGGCAGCACAACATGGCATCTCTGACTCAGAGACCATCCATATTTGGAAGACCAACAGGTAGACGATAGTCTGATAGAGACCGCTGCTGGCAGATGATAGTGGGACTCTGTCATGTCTAATACTGTCGCTACTGTTTCTCCAGTCTCCCTCTGCGTTTCTGGATCAATATTGTGAAGAATCCCCAGTTTATCTTCGACATCCAGGCATCTGACCACGTGGATGCCGTGCTCTCTGTGATCGCCCAGACCTTCATGGACTCGTGCACGATTGCAGAGCACAAGCTGGGCCGGGTTAGTACGTTTGCAAACGCGAGTTTTCCAGCAGCCTCCTGTTACTCTTGTGTCTTTGAATGTCGTTCTTCTTCTTTTTGAACAGGATTCGCCCATCAACAAGTTGCTGTATGCCAGAGATATCCCCCGCTACAAACAGATGGTGGAAAGGTTGGATTGCTTAAGCTGCTCAGACAACACTGAACAGGTGTTTGTGAAATAAACGTATTTTATCAGTCGTACGTTTGAGGTTGATTACAGTGATGGTTATTGCAGGTACTATGCTGACATCAGGCAGACCATCTCAGCCAGTGACCAGGAGATGAACTCTGCTCTAGCTGAACTGTCCAGGGTGAGTGCAGCCACAGCTCAGAACACACACACACACACACACACACACACACACACACACACAGAGTGTGGCCGTTCACTTCAATGCCTTGTGTTTCAGAACTATTCGGGAGAACTGAACTACCTGGTGGCTCTGCACGAGCTCTACAAGTACATCAATAAATACTACGACCAGGTGTGTTTCTACTCTTTCCAGCCACTAGAGGTGGAACAGTACACCATGATGCAACAATGTGGAGACTGTCTAACAATGCAAAACACATTTAATACAATTTAATTAATCAAGATAATTTTCATAAAATTAGTCTTTTTTCATTGATAAAATTCGGTTCTTTTTCTGAAGTAATCAGTTATGTTCATTACAAAAGAGCCTCTGATTCACTCCAGAGCTCCGTTTCATCCAAGCAATAATCCTTCCCTTGCTTAGTTTCAGCAGCTTCTTTTTTGTGGGATGTGAACGGATCAAGGTTCCTATCTAACCAGCCAATCACATGGCTGACACTGTGTTTAGACATGTGGGCATGGGCAAGCTGCTGAATTTCAAAGGTGACTCAAGTAACTTTAGATGTGGCACGGTTGCTGGTGGTTGGTGCCAGAGTATTTTGGAAATTGTTGATCTGCTGTGATCTTTCCACACAACCATTTTTGGGGGGGTTACAGATAATGGTTTGAAAGAAGAAATTACCCAGTGAACGACAGTTCTTTGATCACCTTAGCTTTGAACTGACCGGAAGGAAACAGCAGCTCAGACAGCAGCAGAGCATTGCTTTATTACAGAACATGTTGGATACTGAAGCAGAACCAACACACATGGTGCCAGTCCTGTCAGCTAAGAACAGGAAACGAGCTCAACAAAATTGGACAATGACAAAAAACACTGGTGTGATGTGTATTGATTTCTGCTGCAACTTCCACCAACAAGTTAGGGTCACCGTTTGGTGGTCAGCGGTTAATGTCTTTCAGTGTTCACGCTTGCAATGGTGGTGCAAAATGACAAAATCTACCATGTCCACCTGTTTGTGACCCATCTTCTGATGTCTGATGTTTCCAGCAAGATAATGCACCATATTCCAAAGCTCACATCATTTAAACTGGTTTCTTGAATATGGCCGTGAGCTCAGTGTACTCACCACAGTTAGCAGACCTCAGTCCAATAGAGCATCTTTGGGATGTAGTGGAATGAGAGACAAGATGGCTCTGACAACAAGTCCAGCCAAATGTCTGAGAAAGGTTTCCTGCACCGTGGTGGATCTGTGCTGGGAACAATGAAAGCAGTTCTCAGGGCGAAGAGGGCCTAGTGTTAACAAGGTGCACCCAATAAAGTGGCTGAGTGTAGAAGGTTGAGGCTAATTAACAGCAGCAACTATGCCTTACTCCAAACTGCTGTTAAAAGCACTAATTCAGGGGACAAAAGCAATGTGGGGAAAGTGTTAGAAACGGGGAGGAGTCTGAGCTTTTGGCTCAAAGGGAGTTTTTCCTTCCCGCTGTCGCCAAAGTGCTTGCTCATAGGAAGTCATATGATTGTTGGGCTTTTCTTTGTATGTATTATTGCAGGGTCCACCTTAAAATATGAAGCGCCTTGAGACGATCGTTGTTGTGATTTGGCGCTGCATAAATAAAATTTAAAAAATTGAATTGAATTAGAACATGCACTTCTGATTCTTTTTGGCCTTCATCTGAAGAACCTGCTTTTTAGGGGATCTAGTCGGGTCTACCAGGTGTTTTGGTTGTGCTAAGCTGCCCAGAGCCTTCCTTTTTAACAATGGACCAAATTGTTGATTTGGCCATTCCTGAAGTGTTTGCAGTCTCTCTCATAGATGAGAAAATTTGTCAATGTTACTTTAGAGCCTATGAAAATGTACTCAAACAAATTGCCTTGCTAAGCTCCCTGAATTAAAACTAAAGTCTAAACTTCAGTCACATCTTGTTTGTTTGAGTTCAAATTCACTGCGGTGGTGCGCGCAGGCAGAATTACTGCCCCAAAACGTGTGGATATGACAGAATATCTTTACTGAGAAACAGCTAATGTTTGTCATTTCTATATTCTCAGTCTTTCTTCCTCTTCATTATTTTGCCATCAGATCATCACGGCGCTGGAGGAGGACACCACAGCCCAGAAGATGCAACTCGGCTATAGACTGCAGCAGATTGCTGCTGCTGTGGAGAATAAAGTCACTGACTTATGATGGAGGCGAAATGTGTCAGCTGTACTGCAGTAGCACCTGCCACTGTTACAGGAAACAGCTCGGGCACGCTGGCAGTTAACTTTAACGGACAGAGGGGAAGATGGACTCTTGAGGAGGATGTTTTTTGTTGTTTAAATTAGAGCTCACATCTCAGCAGCCTTTGTGTTTTGGTGACTGCTGACAGTGGTTGACAGTGCGGACACTGTGAGCTTCCTGTAGTGCAGGACAGTGAAAAGCTCAGTGGATGCTTTTAAAAAAAAAAAAAAAAAAGGTCAGTCTGACCCGCTGTCGCTCTGCTCACTTCATGAAAAAGAGATGGTAGCAGTGTGTGTTTTATCTCTACAGTATATGTGCTGGAGTCAAAAGGTAGCTGGTGGACAGCCGGGTCTGCAGACTGAAAGTAGGAATCTTCCATCACTGTGGAGTCCGTTTGATGAAGCGGTACCTCTTATGCCTTGTGTACTTTGCTGCTGTATGGTTATTTCTTGGTGTGTGTCTGGTGCTTTATATATAGATGTGTGAGTGTGCGTGCATGTGGTTGTCCATATTCTCGTGGCTATTAAACTGCATCGTGTATTGCCACGTTTTATGTTTCTAGTACAAAGTGGTGAAGTAACTGGTTCTTATATTTTGGATCTAAGAGTGAAGAGTATTTTGAAAAGAGAGACCTGAATTTTAAGGTTATGTTTTTCACATTTTAGAACTTGTAGTCACTGCTCAAAGCAACATTTTAAAGTCGCTGCCACGCTCTACCTCAGCCTGCCGTCTTTCATCAACTGCTCTTATTTTCACTGGTAGAAGCTGCCTAATTACTGCTTAGTTAACTTGGCCTGTTACACATTTGTCTGTATTGATGTAAATGTTGTGTGATTTGTAATACGATTTTTTTAAGCAGAGCAGCAGCACAGCCGAGGTGCTGCAGATTCACACTCAGTTGCTAACTAGTGTGACAAATACTTTGCTGGAAGGTTAAAAAAAACAATGACCCAATTTTTTTTTTTTCCCCTTAGCAATCCAACTATACCGTACTGTAGGAACACAAGCTGATATATGGTTATCAGCCCCAGCAGCAAAAACACTCACGTATACCTTTCAGGCAGGTCCATCTACCAGTACTGCAGCACCGCACACACCCACTGGACTGCTGTAAACACAGACACACACTTGTTTGTTAATTCTTTACCCATGTGAGAGATTGGAAGCAGAAAGTGGTTTTTTTGAAGGTACTTAAACCTCACATTAAACCTCACCCCATTTTTGTTTCTTGATTTTATTCATATTTGTGTGGATGTGTCTCTAGTGTACAAGTCACTGGAAAGTCAATAGGAAAGCGAAAAGTCCCTCTGTTTAAAAGACAAGCCTTCAAACTGTTAAAGTGCAGTGTCGTGTGAACCACAGTTTTTATAGTTTTTATATTTTGTACATTTTAACATTCCTTTTTAGACCTTGGACATTGTATAGATCACACTCCTGGTGTGTGCAGTTCTTTAACTGGACAGTGTTTCGTGTGTTCCACATAGACCTTATAAAAGATGGATGATGGTAGACTGACAACCTGAGGCCTTGAGTTTGTCATAAGGTTGTTGCCTCTTTGAAGCTGGAAGTGGCTGTTTGTGGATTTAAAAAAAGGCTGGATGCCTAGCTACTAGCTGGAAACACCTAACTGCTTGATTAACAAAGCAAACTAAAAAAGAACTGATACAAAGAAGGTTCAAACATCATTGCTGGCGTTGGAAACTGTATTCTGTACTCAGCGATACATGACAACCAAATAATAGTTGATGTTTTTTGAAAGGGAGTCTGTAGACAGGATGGTTTGTAGCCATATCCTGTATATAAAAGATGTTGTCACCTCTGGCTTTGTAAAGCTCAAGTTGAGCATTTTTCTTTTCTTTTCTTTACTTTTCTTTTCTTTTCTTACCAAGGGGCTGGATTTGATTGGTGCACTTAGGAGCACTATATGCTCATCGGCTAATGATTCATGAACTTCAACTTTTTTTATTCAATTGGACCTGAAACGAGCCCACGGCATCACCAGGAGAGTGTTTTCTCAGACTCTTATACGACTGGATGCGTTTTTGCACCCAGAGCAGTCAACTCCTGCTGGCCATTAGAAAAAATATTGGTTTAAGAGACATGTGCCATTGGCTTCATTTTGCAGCCCCAGTGGCTACGTCCATCTTTTATATACAGTTTGCATTTGTATTGGCATCAATGGTTTGCACTTAAAGGCAGTCACCATGGCCCAGTGACTGCATCTATCTTTCTATGTAGAGTTTATGGTCCTGCAGTTGTGTGTGGCATTTGATCAACGTGATCAAACTACTCCAGGCTCAGTAGATGTTGCTTGTAGCGTAGCCGGGCTGGGTATGGTTGGACATATTTTTTGATGCTGGTTTTTGTGTTGAACTCTCTTTCTCCTTTAATATTTACAGCAGCTCTTTATGTGGGAATTTGTTTAGTTTCAGGTGATTGTAGGATTGGAAATCAATGGGGAAACAGATTTTGACACAACTATAGAAACGATATAACAGTTTGAGTAGTCTACATGCGTATTTTATAAAGTGCACTTGATTTTTGTTTTCTCAAATCTGATGTTGTTTAATGTTTTAATACACAAAGTACTACAAGTTGTAAATTAGAGTATCTACTACTGAAGTATGCTAGTACCCAGTCCCAAAAAAAGGTGACAGTAGAAAAGACTTTTTCTACCCACCCTCCACTCAAATGAAGATTTATCAGTTTGAGCCCGAAGTGTGTAATTACCAGGGTCAGTGTGTCAGAATGTGGGCCATTTGTTACAACACTACATAACACAGGTAATAATGACTTTTACAAACACATGGAGTCTGTTCATCTTGAGCTGAGAGCTCAGTGATGAACAAAGAACCATTGGGGGGAATCCAGGCTGTATAAATTTGGCAATGTAGAGCAGGCTCTGCAAGGAGCAGGTTTAGGATGTTTCTTATTTTGTGTGTTAATATCTTTGTACATACTGATTAAAGATGCAGCTGTAGTGATTTAACCTGTTTAATAAGAGAAGGTGAACATTCTCACAAATGAAATAAAGTATTCTGAAAGCTGTCTTTTTTCCTTGATTTCAAAAACCTACCACTATGAACGCTCTCGGGCATGTTAGGACTTAAAAACAGCTGTGCTACCAGCTAACATAGCCCTGCAACAAAGAGGGCCAAATAACTTCAAGGGCCAAATTGCAGTATATTTTTCACATCGATATATGGGCCACAAGTAGGGGTGATGTGGGTCTAGTATATTCTTATAAAGAACAAATGCACTGAATAGCTCACCAACACCAAGAGGCCTGGGATGCAACAGATGACCTCAAATGTATGATGACAGAATTATTTTCATAGTTAAGCAATTTCACAACGTCTAACCAAGTCAAGAACGTGAAAGGAGGTGGGAGCATCATTGTAGAGGCCTCCAGTCAAGTGATGGGTTTAGCTTACTGAAAGCTCTGTCACCTGCAGCAGTCACAGGCAAAATATATGCAGAGCAATACACACTTGTCCAAAACAGCCTTTATGTGGGTTATAATGATAATGGATTATCACTATTATTACAATATTAGTATTGTGTAGAAAGAAAGGGTCTGCCTGATTACATGTTGGCTAAAATAACTCAAACATGTTGTCTTCTGCTAGAAATGAAGAAAGCTAACTAATACTAGGAAAGTCGAGCAGTTTCTTTCATGTGGACTTTGCTATGAGTTTAATTGCCACCTGTGGGGGGTTTTTTTTGTTTGTTTGTTTGGTTTTTGTTTTTTTTTTTGGATAGTCAGACTTGGCTTTTAACTGAGCCATTCTACAGTCTCTCGCACTCAGTATCAGCCAGGAGTGGGTAACCTGGACCAAACCAAATCTTGAAAGTTAACAATTTTCGTTAAAAAGCAAAAAACTGACAGTTATACTGTTAGAATTGTCATCACTGTTCTCCCCTTTGCGATGCCCCCGATTCCATATAAAAGGCAGAGGTCTCCCTCTTCCCTCAGCTGGGTTAGACGCATGGTTGTCATCGGGACGCGTGGCCTCGGATCTTCAGCCCCCTTGGATGCCGTGGATGGTGGGCGTCTCCTGGGTCTTGTATATTTGTTTGTGAGTCTCCCTCTGTTTTGTCTTTTCGGTGCTGTGTATCATTTGAGTGCCTTGTTGCAGAAGTTGAGGACCCAGCGTCTCTGACTTCACACACCCCCCCCAAATCTTCCCCAAGTTGGATTTACTGTTTTATGCCTAAGTAGGGTAAACAAAGGGGTAGACTGTACAATTGGGTGGTTGTTTTTCTGTTTGGAGAAACAACAGAGGTCAGAGCAGTAACTATTCTAAATCATATACACCACAGGCATATGTGGTCCACTGTTATTTAATAAAATGAAGAGCAGGGAATAGGGAATTCTTTGTATGCATGCCATGGAGCACTAGACAGCAATAAATGTAAAGTAACAATCATCATATGAGTGGGGATTAATATTGTCTGTAATAAAGAGTCAAGCAATTCTCTAAATGAGATCAACCACTCTCCTCAACACTATATGGGCAAACATTTGAGAAAGGTCATATTGTTCCGTTTCCATGTAGTGTATCTGATGGAAAGCCGACTTGGAGACCTTAAATAGATCAAATTAAAGCCAAACATAAGATCAACAATCTTTTGCGGTGTTTATCAGGTTGTTCTTGGTGGGCATCTGGCCAGTCAGTGAAAAACAGTTACTGGCCCTGAATGAGATCTTGACTGTTCTGTAGCTTATAGGCTAGATAATCTATTAGTGTACAGTAGACCTGGTGGACATGATGTTAGGTTCACCATGGGTTGAATAGAAGAGTCAAAAGAATATAGTTGTTAGATCAGATAATTTATAAGCACCTATTACACCAGGTAAACAATGCAGACTAGATGTTGCATATGAAATATATTCCAATTTGCAAATGTTGTACAGTAAGGGTGTAAGTGTTTATTTCCTGCTCATGTAGGTGTGGAAGGAACTGGATGTAGATGTATTGGGGAAACAGTCAATTTACAGATACTATTTAGCAAAGATGAAGTCAAATTATTATAGTTGTTATATTCATGATCAAGTCAAGTGGCTTTATTTCAACCATGTGCAGTGGTACAGTACACAGTGAAGCGAGACAACAGTCCTCCTCGACCATGGTGCCACATATGACATAACAGACAATCTACACATGAAGTGCAAGTGCAACACCAGACAGAACAGAACGATAAAGACACAGGACAGTGCAATAGAAAAGTACAACAATGACAGTGGGTTGTGCAAAAGGCTGAACACTGTGCAAAAAGTCACTTGATGTATGAAGGTGTGTGTGTCAGTCCAGTCACTGAGTGTTCAGGAGTCTGACGGCTTGGGGGAAGAAACTGTTTCACAGTCTGGCAGTGAGGGCCCAAATGCTCCGGTACCTCTTGCCAGAAGGCACCAGGGTGAAGATTGTGTGTGTGAGGGGTGTGTGGGGTCCTCCTGGTGGCTTTGCAGATGCAGTGGGTGCGATTGGTGTCTGTGATGGAGGGAAGAGAGGCTCCAATGATCTTCTCAGCTGCTCTCACTATCTGTTGTAGGGTTTGCAATCCGATGTGATGCAGTTGCCATACCAGACAGTGATGCAGCTGCTCAGGACGCTCTCGATAGTCCTTCTGTAGAAGGTGGTGAGAATGGCTGGAGGGAGATGAGCTTTTCTCAGCTTCTGCAGGAAGTAGAGATGCTGTTGGGCCTCTTTAGTTATGGAGCTGGTGTTGAAGGACCAGGAGAGGTTCTCCGCCAGGTGGACACCAAGGAATTTGGTGCTATTGACAACCTCCACAGAGGATCCATCGATGTTAAGTGGACAGTGATCTTTATGTGCTCTCCTGAATTCTACAATCATCTCTTTTGTTTTGTCCACGTTCAAAGACAGGTTGTCGACTCTACACCAGTCTGTTAGCTGTTGCACCTCCTCTCCGTATGCTGACTCTTCGTCCTTGCTGGTGAGACCCACCGCAGTCGTGTCATCGGCAAATTTGATGATGTGGATTAAACTGTGCATTTATGCAGAGTCATGAGTCAGCAGAGTGAAGAGCAGTGGGCTGAGCACACAGCCCTGAGGGGCTCCAGTGCTCAGTGTGGTAGTGGTGTTGGAGATGCTGTTACCAATCCGGACTGCTGTTCAGGCCCAGCAGGCTCAATTTTCCAATCAGGTGCTGAGGAATGATTGTGTTGAATGCTGACCTGAAGTCTATGAACAGCATTTGACATCATCGATGCACCTACTGAAGTAGCTGGTCACAGATGTGTACTCCTCCAAGGTGGTGTGGTCGCCATTTGTTGCAGCCTCCCTGAACACATCCCAGTCAGTGTACTCAAAACAGTCCTGAAGAGCAGAAAGTGCTCCTGTAGGCCAGGTTCTCACCCGTCTCGGCACCGATTTGCAGCATCTGATGAGCGTTCTGCATGCCAGAATTAGCATAACAGACAAGTAGTCTGAGTATCCGAGGCGAGGGCAGGGCTTCGCTCGGTACACACTGGGAATATTTGTGTAAACAAGATCCAGCGTAAGACTCCCCCCTTGTTACAAAGTCTACATGTTAATGGAATTTAGGAAGCACTGACTTTAGTTGATGATAAACGGTAAGATCCTAAATGTATGGCAGGAGCACTGGAGCATCAATGACCCAGGAAGACATCTAATATTCAATTAAGTATTTGATGAGATATGCCAATATTCAGAAAATTTGGCAGGATCTGAATGGAAGAAATAATAAATACCTGTTTCAGAGTAGAGCACACATTGTATTTAATAGACAAGGATCCAACTGGTCTCTGCATGCACTGCAACCCAAATCTCTCCAGCATGTATACTTGGAGCGTCAGGCCTATGATCAGAAAAGAAAAAGTATATTATCATAATAGGAACTTTCAAGGAGCTGAAGATTCGTTTTTACTTTGGAAGACCTCATTGGAAAGCCACTGCTGCAGGTCTATAGGTAACTGGTGTGGTTATGAGAAGGATAGATTTATTAGAAAGAAGCTTTTTTAAAAATATTTTTATTTATTTTTGTCAAGTTCAAAGTAACACTCCAGTTCAGTAGGTGGCGCTAATGTACCTTGAGCTGGTCTAACAACCGCCATTAAACCAAAGAGTATAAGAAAAAGAAGCGGCAGAAGAAATATTAACCCCCCCACCTCAACACAATCGACCAAAATGGAGTAGTGCCGAAGGCAGTACTAGATGAGAATTCGTGTAATGTAATTCATTATTCGAACAGACATTATTCCATCGCAAGGAAAATTTAAGACTTTGAGAAACCGCAGACACCATTTTTGTTCCTGTCGTCAAGCTTTCTGCAAGGAACAGGTAACTCCAGCGAACTGGCTGGGTTGCTAGCAAAGTTAGCATTAGCGGCTAGTGCTAATTTTAGCTAGCTATCCCTGTAATTCGACAATAGTAGAAAGAAATCTTAGCATGATTTCTTTGGCACAAAATATTCACATAAAACATTTCTCTCGAGTCATATTTACTATCACATTGCAACATCCCGAATACGGTTATTTTTTTCCATCACACGCTGCAAGGCTAGGGTTGCTAATCTGAACGGTGTGCAACGTAGTTTGCATCAGCGTAGAGCTTAACACCCCTTGTCTTGTCTATTCTACTTTGCTGTTCTGCACAGCGCTGCTTGGGTTAACCTAATACGCTAGTCTTCCATATAGAAGATGTTCAAATCACAGTTCATTCATTTTCAAACCAGACCTAACTCTTAAAGGTGACAGACCGCATGACGTTAATTGTTACCATTCGGTTCAGCCGTCCAAATTTTTGTCATTTTTGTCCTCTAAAGAAATCTTTTGCTATCAAAAATGTGTTTGTTATTCATCAAATGGGCTGAAAATAACAGAAGTTGTTCAGTGCTATGTTATGCATGATTGCAATAAGTTTTAAGTAATTTGATTTATCTATAGGGTTTTTATTGGATTTTATAACACTTGTGGTCCTCGGACAAAAATGACCCCTCAGTATAAAGTGGTGCATTAGGGTAAACACCATACTCCTTTCCAAAACATCTTTGATCTTTGATGTATGGGGACACGGACACACACACAATAAAATAAAACAAAAAAAAAAAGGCGGGGAAAAAGCTCTTTTGTCACAAGTTTTGGGGCATTTCTTGTTTTACTCTGGGAGAGAGAAGCAGCAAAATGAAGAGGCAGAAGCTCTGTACTGCACAAGAGACTTGTGAGCTAATTTTTAACCAAGCTGTTGAAAAGAACGACCAGGATGAGGATGATTCATCTTCAGACGCGGAGGAAAATAATGATGAAGATCGAGCATATGGACCACATGCTAGTTCTTTCTCTGAAGAATCCCCCACATCGCCAGCTGCAGAAACTGAAGAAGAGTATGAAGTGATGGAAAACGATGAATATGATGAGGAAGAATCTGAACCTGAAATGGAAGAAGTATCAGCTGTGGAAGACTACACTTCTGATGAAGAGAAAGAATCAACCGATGAGGAAGAATCTGTGGAAGAGGACCCAGCTGAGACAGAGGAATATTTCCAGTCAAAGGACAAAAAACTGATCTGGTGTTCGGTTCCTCCCAGTGACAGACGACGCATGATGAAAGTAGAGAGAGACAAAAGCCACTGTGGTCCAACCACATATGCAATTTCTCGTATTGATGACATAAAATCTACTTTTGCCCTGTTTCTGCCCAAGTCTATTGAAGAGGTGATACTGAACATGACAAACAAGGAGGGGCGTCGTGTGTATGGCAACAAGTGGAGGAAGATGGATCCAATCGACCTGCAGGCATATGTGGGTATGTTGATTCTCGCTGGTGTGTGCCGCTCCAATAAGGAAGCTACAGCTATTTTATGGCATGCTGAGTCTGGTAGGACAATTTTTCGTGCTACCATGACACTGAAGGTGTTTCATAAAATCTCAAGAGTTATTCGTTTTGATGATAAAGACACAAGAGGAGATCGGCGTGCACGAGACAAACTTGCTCCCATTCGGGATGTATGGAACAAGTGGGTGCCTCTTCTGCCAATGATGTATAATCCAGGCACTGATGTCACTGTGGATGAGCGTCTAGTGCCCTTCAGAGGTCGCTGTCCATTTAAACAGTACATTCCATGCAAACCAGGAAAGTATGGCATAAAAATATGGGCAGCATGTGATGCCAGGTCTAGCTATGCATGGAACATGCAAGTATACACTGGCAAACCTGCTGGTGCACAGTCAGAAAAAAATCAGGGCAAGCGAGTTGTTGTTGAGATGACAGAAGGTCTCCAGGGGAAAACAATAACCTGTGACAACTTCTTCACATCATATGACCTTGGCCTGCAACTACTGAGAAGAAAGCTGTACATGGTGGGAACAGTACGGAGGAATAAGCCCGAACTGCCCCCTGCGCTGGTGTCAAAAATGAACAGGGCTCAGTTCTCATCAAAGTTTGCCTTCACCGAGACCCATGCTTTGGTGTCCTACCACCCCAGAAAACAGAAAAATGTTCTTCTGATGAGCACTCTGCATCGGGATGCTGTTTTGAGCACCAGGGATGACAAAAGGCCAAAAATCATCGAAGATTACAATCGCAACAAGGGGGGTGTCGATAACCTCGACAAGGTATTGCACATTTATTATTTATAATATTTGTCATATCATAGATGGAAAGGATAATGCACTGAATTTGGGTGTAGGAAAAGAAACTTACATATCTGAATAGTTTTTGGTTTGTTTCTTTTGTTTCAGGCTACGAGTGTGTACACATGCAAAAGAAAAACAGCCGGTTGGCCCCTCGTTGTTTTCTACAACATTCTCGACGTGTCTGTATACAACTCGTTTGTCTTGTGGTCAGAGATCAATCCAGCCTGGAATCAGGGGAAGTGCAACAAGAGGAGACTCTTTATGGAGGAGCTTGGGCAGCAACTGGTGATACCTTACATCCAGCGACGGAAGGTTAGCACTAAGCTGCATTTCTGCTACTCTTTATTCTACAGTGATCTCAGAATTTGAACTATTTGTAATTGTACTATGACTTGTTATAATAAAGTTTGACTTGACTTGACAGGTTATTCCCCGCACACCAGCAACTGCCAGATTCGTTAGGAAGAACCAGCAGTTCTGCTCCAGCTCTACCTCTGCAGCAGAACTTCCTCACCCAGCTGCCCCTACTGGCCCATCACCCAAAAGAAAAAGGTGCAAGTTCTGCCCCAGCAAGATTAGTCGCAAAGCATCAAAAATCTGCCAAAAATGCAATGCGTACATCTGTAAAACTCACACCATAACTGTGTGCCATGCATGCAACTGAGGGCACATTCCGACTACTGTATTATGAAAAGTTACTTTTGAAAAGTTAAATGTTTTGGAAATGAATGTTGGCATGTTTTATATGTCAGGTAATGATTTCAAATAAAGTTGAATATATAAATTGCAACAGAGAGGTGGGTGATACTTTATGCCTTATACAAAGTTGAACCAGATGGGGACATTTTTGACCCCTGAGGACCACAGGTGTGATTATGTGCTGCCATTAAAAAAATTCAAATGATTTAAAACCAACACCCTCACTAAATTCTGATATATACTACTCTGTGATAAGTCAAGTACTGAAAACTATATAAATTCAAATTATTTTGATGTTGTTATTTTTACTCAAAAACAGAGTATACTTTATATAAATGGGGTCTGGTGGCCTAAAATTATGGCAAAATTTTGTCATAATGTGTTGGCCTTAAGTAAAACTAATATGTAACACTGAATTGATTGACACTTTATACTTTAAAAAACAGTCAAATGAAGTGGGGACATTTTTGACCCCTGAGGACCACAGTGTGATTATTTGCTGCCATTTAAAATTATAAATGGTTCAAAAAAAAAATTCTCACTAAAGTTCAACATACAGCACTCTTAGTTATTCAGATAGTCAAAATTATCTAAACAATTAAATATTTAATTTTCTTGTTTTATTTTCGCTAAAAAACGGTGTATTTTTTGTAAACAAGGTCTGGTGGCCCTAAAATGTAAAATGTTGGGTAAATTTTGTGTTAATGTGTTGGTCTTAAGTAAAACTAAGATGTAACACTGAATTGATTGACAATTTATACTTTATACTGTGAAAAAAACTCTAATGAAGTGGGGACATTTTTGACCCCTGAGGACCACAGGTGTATGTAAATCGGGAGAACATTATGAGGGTTAATTCAACAGGGTTCGTTCTGTGGAGGTTGTTCAGTATCGCGGCTTCTCTTTTTGCAGCTATAATGGAGCCATCGGAGCAATCAGGCCCAGACTCAGGTTCTCAGGATGTCAACCCAGTGTTTCTGCAGCAGCTCAGAGAGCTGGACATCCCAGAGGAGGCGGCCAAACAGGTGGGGCTGTATAACCTCAGTATGCACCTTATATCCTGTGACAGCATCACATTTCTTTAAAAGTTGATGGTACTTACTGTGTTAAATAATGTTTGTCTGAATTTAGGAATGTTTCTCACAGCTGTGTCACAAACACTGGAAATCGTAAAGCATACTTGCACAGTGTGTGTATGTGTCTACCAATGTCTGTTCTAAATCTCAATGTATTGTACATACGACTCCTATTTTATTTTTATGTTTTTATCTTTATATTGTTTTAGTGTACACCGAGGGTCATGGGAGCATTTTAATTTCAAAATTCCTGTGTTTGATCTGTACATATGGTTTTTGACAATAAAGCTAACTTTGACTTTGTCTAAATCGTAATGAGTCACAATAGCAACTTCATTGCTCCAAATAACATTACAGTGTTTGGAATATTGATTTATTTTGTCCTCAGGAACAGTTTCTTCAAGAACTGATCGAGGATACAGCTCTGCAGTCTCAACTAAAACAAAAAGGACTCACCAATAATTAGATATGCGGAAATAATTCCTAATAATATCTAATCAATGAGGAAACTAACTGCAAAAGATGACAATTATTTCTATAAATTTTCTTGGCTACCAAAATAAAGTCTACTTTTACTTCACGGTTTTGTTTTCTGTCCCTCTCCCTTGTCTCTCTTCACTGTAGGCACTCTTGCATACTCGGAATGTGTCTGCCGAGGAAGCGGCCATGTACTACTTCAACAAGCTGGAGAATGAGGTGCCCATAAGCTAGCCTTAATCCCTGCAGGTACACCTTGGTACATTGGACCTTGTGGAGTTTATCCAAAGCCAAATCTCAGTGTCTCTTTGTGTGTCTGCTATTTAGGAGGAGGGTGATGATGACCTCATTTACAAGATGGTATTTGTGGTGAATATGGACCTTGCCATGGGCATTGGGAAGGTTAGTTCAATGGGACCATTTTTTCAGCTTTTGTGTGTGTGTGTGTGTGTGTGTGTGTGTCCCTGAGGAAATGATGTGGTTACAGTTGTGCCCAGACGATAAGGACAGTAACAGACTGAATTAAATAAAACGGAAGAATATATTACAAAGTTACAAAATATAACAAATGGCTTTAATATATACAAATAGCTCAATTACAAATATCTAGAATATAACAGAGATTACATATATATGATTGAAATTTTACACTAAACTGTAAAACCTTATTAGTTAGTTTTACTTAGAGGATATGCAAAAGAGTGTAACTGTTGCACTGCGTGCTGTCACTCCCTGGATTGAAACAGAGGCCACAGGTTTCCTGGTCGTCCTAACATCCAAAATCAGTTCTTTGGTCTTTGTCACATATTCTGGGCAGGGATAGCTCAGTAGGTAGAGTGGTGGCCCCATGATCGGAAGGTCGGGGGTTTGATTCCCCTGAACAGCTACCCTGAGGTACCCCTGAGCAAGGTACCGTCCCTACACACTGCTCCCCGGGCGCCCAGTGGCTGCCCACTGCTTCACTGAGTGAATGGGTTAAATGCAGAGAGGGATTTTCCCCACGGGGACCAATAAAGTACACTTTCTTCTTCTGACAAATGAAGCCATCGTTACTTTGCATGAACAATGCACTTTGAGGTCAGTGATGTACATTGGAGGCACTCAAGAGTGGTCATTACAAATGTTGTATTTTTAACAGCTGCTACTAAACCAAAGAAAACAAGGGAATGAAATTAGGGTTTACAGCTTTCCTTCCATAGAAAGAGGAAAAACAAGGGGAAGGAAAATTCCAAAAGACCTGCAGCTGGCTTCTTGGCACGTCTGCTTGCACGCATCTGAATCACTCATCCATTGTTGGTTTTTGCACTAAAAAAAAAGTATATATTTTTTTGTCTCATTTTGGGTTAAAGTGGGAGTCATTGAGCTGCGACATACTGCTGTCGCTTACAGCTGAGGTACTTTTTCTTCTCCACATGTCAGCTCATGAGACAGCTGAAGTTACATAAGATTTAATGTTGTGGTACTGTAAACAGAGTGTTGTTGCTTTTTTTGTTTTTTGTCATTTTATGTTAAGTTTGTGAGAAATGTAACACTGAATTGATTGAACTCGACACTGTTTGTGTGCAGGTGGCTGCTCAGGTTGGTCATGCTGCTGTGGGCTTGTACCAGGCTCTACAAGAGAAGAACAGCTGGAGGGAGATGGCCTGGAGGTGGGACCACAGTGGGTAAGACCACAGTATTAGTTTCTAGAAGACCTGATGCTTTATTTTGGAGCTCTTCTTAAATATTTTTCAGCATTTCTGTGTTCATTAAAAGTCCTCCTGTGTCAGAATAGTGCTCCAGATTGCTATCTACATTGACAATCGGAGGGAAAAAAAAACATGTTCATGTTGCTGATACAGGGCCAAGAAGGTGGTGGTCCAGGGCACCAATGTGGCTCATCTGCTGGAACTGCAAGCCCTGGCCATGAGCCTCAGTCTGCCCACATATCTTGTCCAAGATGCGGGACTTACCCAGGTAAAAGAATTTTTATCTTGTATCCAAATATCTGTGGTGGTGCAAGTAGACATTCCAAACATATTGTTACATTATCAGTAGTAATAGTTGTGGTTTAAAAACAAAGTCAGTTTTTGTCAGTATTGTACAGTGGCTTGGCATGAAGATGTGTAAAGCTGAGCTCTAAACCAACCCTTCTGGTCTTTGGAAGGTGGAGTCTGGGTCCCGCACTGTCCTGGCAATCATGGGGGAAGAAGAGATGGTGAATAATGTCACTGGCAGTCTGAAGCTGCTCTAAACCGCTTCTAGCTACAGCTCGGGAGAGGCATGGCTCTGCAGTGTCACAACGATGCCAGCAGAGGACAGCATTTCCCAGCAGTAGGGAGAGTCTTGGACTTGACTCTCCCTGAAACATGTTCCTCCCCACCAGAAAACAAACACTCTGCCATTTGTTTCCCTTTCTGTTCTCTGTATAAGCTGCTTAGTAGAAAGCAAGAGGAAGAGAGACTGGTTCCTCACTGAAGAATAGGACAAAGACAGTAGGAAAAAAAGTGTA